ATTGGAAGGAGGAGGGGGTGGGCGTGGGCATGGGCGCTTATTCGAGGCTGGACGCTTATTAACTTTTTCTGCCTTTAGGATGGGCGCTTATTCGAGGAGGACGCTAATTCGAGGTTGGGCGCTTATTCGAATAAATACGGTAATTTGTGACCGATGATTTAGGTAATCGGTCAAACAAGATAGCCCTCAATCCCAAATTTATCTTTCAATTTATGGAGTGGGATACTATGAGAGACACAATCGAAGGCTTTACGGAAATCTGCAAAGGATGTGGTAACTACTAAATTGTTATCAGCAGCTTGTCTCCAAGATTCCGTGAGATGAGCAAGTAATAGTGGCGTCGAATGGCCCTTACGGTATCCATTGCCTCTCAGTAAGAAGTCCGTATTCCACGACGTGATCTAATATTGTGTCAGATACACAAGATTCTAAGATTTTCCTGGGCACGCTAATTAAGATATAGGTCTATAATTACTTCAGTTTTTCTTTTTGTTAGTTCAATAACCACACAGCAGTTCAATAAGTACACAACAGATCAATAACCACACCAGTAGTTCAATGACCACACATTAAAAAATAAAAATATAAATAAATAAATAAATGTGATGAAGGTGACATATAACCAACAAGTAAGTATTAAAATGAAAATGATAATGCTCAGTTTTTCTTTTTGTTAGTTCAATAACCACACAGCAGTTCAATAAGTACACAACAGATCAATAACCACACCAGTAGTTCAATGACCACACATTAGTTCATTGAGCGTAAACTACATGTAGCTGCGGGAAAAATAGCCACAAATACGTTAGTTATTTTTAATAAGAATGTATAGCATTAAGTAAGTGGTAAATACTCATATATAGGTCTATAATTACTTCTGTCAGCTGGATCGTCCTTTTTAAAAACTGGGCACAAGTGAGCTTTTTTCCATTGTTTAAAAACTTCACCATTGTCGACACTTATCGAGTATAGCTTAGTGAGTGATAGGACGACAGCTGGTTCAGCTAACAGCCCACCGGCCTTGTTAGGTTTTAGGGCCTTGATTTTTCTGGATATGGACTCCTCCGAAATTTAGATGGAAGAAATTGTTTGTGTCAGTGTAGGATCATTTCCTGTTTCTACTAGTGGACAGACGGTGTTTCTTGAAAGGCTAGTTCCTACTGTAGCAAAGACGGTATTTATCAGGTTTGCTTTTTCTTTGTTACGTACAGCGAGAGTATTATCTTCCCGTCTTATTGGGCCAATCTGGGGTCTCCTCTTTGGATTCGTTGCTTCGGAGAGTACTTTCAAGTACGCAGCAGTGGACTTCGCCGAATCAGTCTTTTCGCAGAAAAAGCTGGCTTTCGCACAAGTCTTGAGCTGTTATTTCATTTCGGACCTTTCTGTATCTAGCCCAGGCTGTTACGTCCTTGGTGCGCACGGCGGACGGAGATTGTACCTATAATTCATCTTTCTTCTTATTTCGTTAGTTATCCATGGGTTGCTCTTGCTACGGATTTTTATCTTTTTAAAAGGTACGTGTCAGGGGGGGGCTGGCGACGGCCTTTGATCTTGCCGCTTTTCGACTTTCCATGATCGCCCCAGTTAAGAAATCTGTCAATCATCCGAAAACTGTAGCGAGCATGCGCGGAACGGATTGGGAAAACAAGCTCGTCTTAGCAGCTTCTTCGCAGCGATTCGGCAGTGTGAAGTGAAGTTGCGTTTGGTCCCGTTGGTCATTGGTTTCTTCGTTTTGTTCCGCGATAATGTGGAGCTTACGTTTTCCTTTCTTCTGGTCTTGAGTTTGTCATTAAATGCGGCCCGGTTTACTACGGTAAGAACGAGACCAGTGAACATGTTTCTCGATGCCCGACCTTTTGATGGTTTGCTTCTGTTTAGACGACCCACGAATTGCAAGAGTAAAAGAAGGACCAACCCTCCAATACGTATGTAGAAGAGTTTATATTTTCAATCGAAAGGCCCAAAATTAATTCTTCGTGGTATTAAAAAAAGTGCGGTGACTGGCGTGTGGTTGAGTAGAAGAGTTGTCAGAGTTCAGCTGAGAGTTGTTTACGGCTTCACTACACCTTTAAGACGACAAGAAATGATGATTGAGATTCTCAGTTCTACATCCTTGATTGTGAACTTATCCTGGCAGAGTTGCGTTGGATGATTGAGTGGCATGGTCAAATCTCGTAGTTCATGTATTTCTTTATGTACTAGAAGCTAAATAAATTTTGCCAAGAGATCATTCTCTCTTGATTTTGCACATGTTGATATGCTTAAGTTCTTTTCTTCGTGCGATTTAATTTAAACTTTACCGTAGTTTCTAACAACTGAATCTTAGGCAGATGAAAGGGTAATTATCTTGTGTGTTTGGAATTCTCTTTTCATGACAGCAGTTACTACACTGCCTTCAGTTTGAGTCCTAATTCAGGTGTGTTTTGTTGCAAAAAAAGAGGGAAAAATTATAAATTTTAGAAACTACACTACCCCTTGCAACAAGATTATGGTTTAAAAAAGATTACCTAAGTTCAGAAAAGAAATCTTCAAGTTGGCATGTTTTGACAAGGACTACATCTGGCTAAATATGCTTCCAAGGGAATGTATAAAGTCAGGAAAATGGTGACATTTCTATTTTTGCCTTTCCTTTGGCCACAATGATCAGTTTTTGCTATACAGTTGCATGTAATTTTTTACACTTTTAGACATCAACCTGCCAGGTTAGTTTGTGTCTGTATAAAAATGTAGTTAATGAAATCAAACCCTCTCAACTTAAAAATTACCTTGTACTAGTGGATATGCAAAACACCAAAGGATGTCTTGGAAAAAAATGTAAAATGATTATTAAGATAATATTATTAATTTTGTAGTCAACAATAATAGTTAGAAACTTGTGTTGAGGCAGGCAAAAACATTTTTCAGAGACCATAGACCTTCACTGACTTTGCTGTTAACACAAGTGGTAAAAGGGTATTAAAATGTGAGATCATCTCCCTGGGCTTGCACTGAAAGAGAGTATGGGTAGTGGGACACATTGTTCATTTCCCCCAACCTTTTTATGCCAAGAGACCTGATTTGATAAAACTTATTCACTTCAGTTAGCATACAGAATTAAGTTAGTCTTAAACTTAGAAAGATGGAAAAACTTGGGGAAAAAATTTGTGGTACCAAAAATGTAACTACAGACTGCTCTTCATCAACCTTCACAGCCCAAACAGACACCCTGTTCAAAACTCTAAAGGGTGAAATGGTCACCACCCTAACTAAGCAGCACATACCCATCTAGGCCAAATAAGCCAAGGGTAGTATGTAGAAAGAACTGCTGAGGGGATTGGGCTCAAGGGACAATAACTTCTTTTGATGGTTGATAAAAAGTCAATTTTACCTTGTTTATTTTACTTGTAAATCAGATTCATAACTTACACAAACAATTGAAGTTGTACATTTTTCAAGGTCCTTCCGATTCTCTTTATAAACTTTGCAAAACATTCAATTGTCTTTTTTCTGTTTCTTATACTTCAGTCCTTTGAGGGATTTTCTCAATGTATACTGAGCATACCCCTCTCTGATGTACTCACTCTTATTAGCAACTGGATTAACCTCTTGTCCCCACACTCAGATTCAAGTATAATTCAAAACTATGGGGTAATTTTTGTACAAACAATTTCAAGGAAGTACTTAAAACCGAAGTCACTATCTAATATAAAACTACTAAATACGGTGTTGCTGTTGGAGTTATTTATCGATTATCACACAAACGATATTCCAGCGAAGGTTTTGAAGATTCAGTAAGCCCTTCCCTGCAGCCTTTTGATATTAAAAATAGCTTATACTCACAGACCCAGTGTAGGTGAAGCAAAGTGATTGGAAAGTTTAACCTGGCTTTTACTAAATTAGCCCTGTATTCTGTATTTACGCCCACAAATATTTGTTGTGGCTCCCGGTGTACAAACAAACTTACGAACAGCGAAGTCCAAAATTGGTTTAATGAACATTCCCATATGACTGTTGCAAGACTCATACTATAATGAACTCGTAGCATATGTTTAGGATAAAGCAGAGAGTTCTTAATACCACCGTAGGTGAAAAAATATATAAGAGATGGAGCAGGTTGTCCTGAGGCTGGTCGCTCGAAAATTCACGAAGCTTATAAATAACTGAACTTGCCAAGGTGCCGAATCACGATGAGCGAAGTCACTCATGAACTGTTCATACATCACGCCTCCTGATGTCCAAAAATTTCATGAAAAAAGTCCATGAAAACCTTTTCTTGATGTTTGGACGCCATAAAACGTAAAACCGAGCAAAAACTCATCATCTTTCCATGTCCGCATTCTCCGCCATATTTGTTTTGAAGGAAAATTGGTACTCAGTCTCACTCGGCCAAATTTCTTAACTGGGGCGATGATGTAAACTCGGTTCCAGACCTCGCTGCCAGCCCCCCCTGGTACGTGTTTATCACATACTTCATTGAGCATCAGGTTCCACGCGCATTGCATATCGTCTTTATCTTCGAATAGATCAGAAACATGGAACGGTGCGCATGAGAGGTCTGCTTGGAATTACTTAGCATTGAAATGTTTGAAGTGAAGACATTTTCAAAAACATAGACACCCAGAGCAAAGAAAATCAAAACGAAAGGCTTCACATTGAGAAAGGAAAACTGGAGTTTTGACCGCTGCAAAGTGATCTGTCTTAGTAAAGCAATGAAAAATAATGCGGCAGTCAATAGTTCATGCTTTGTTGAGCAGATTAACAATCCTAGCTAAGAGGATATTTGTCAAAATGTCAAAAAATGCAACAAGCTCTGTTTGATTGGTTGATAAATCAATATTAATATTTAGTCTTTCTCAAGGCAGTAGGTAGGGTGCGTTCTTTCAAAACGCCGCTGCTTGTTAAATCGCTAACAACAAGGACAAAGAAGCTTGCAGGATTTCCACCTTTGTTCCCCCATCTTTTCCATGGATGTAAAGACCTTGCTGGACAATCTTCATGATGAGTTATCCTGTTCTGTATGTATGTGTACATTCAATGATCCAAAACAATTGCCTTGTTTGCACAGTTTCTGTCTCAACTGCCTGAATGGCATTCAACGAACGAGCGGCGTCCATGGCAAAATTACATGCCCTGAGTGCAGGAGACAGTTTGAGATCCCTGGAAGTGGAAATCTCAGCGTACTTCCCACCAATTTTCGCATAAACAGTTTGATAGATGTCTTGGCAATTAAAGAGTGCAGTACAGCTAACGTGAAATGCGGAAACTGTGACAAGCGGAGCGCCCAAACCTTATATTGCTTCCAGTGTTGTTCTTTTTGGTGCGAGGAATGTATTTCAGGACATAACATCATACGCACCAATAAAGAACACAAAACACTGCTACTGAAAGATTTTCAAGATCAAGATATCGAGGCCGTGTTAAAGCAACCGGCATTTTGTCAGAAAGAACTTCATGACAAAGAGGAGTTGAAATTCTTTTGCAAAGATTGTAAAGTCGCCATTTGCAACACTTGTGTTGTAACACTTCACGAAGGCCACGGCAAAATGCTCTTGAAAGAAGCTGCAAATGCCCGCAGGACACAAATTAATTACATGACTAAATCCTTAAAAGATAAAGCACTGGAGAAACGAAAGGAAGTCGAACAATTCAACCAAAAGAGCATGGAAGTTCTAGCTCATGTAGCCGACGTAAAAAGCCAAGTGCAGACGAATGTAGACCAAATGATTGCAATCATCGAAGCGAGGAAAAAGACTATTTTCGATGCCGTCGATAATCAAGCGAAAGAATCACTTGAAACACTCTCACAGAAAAAAGGCGAAGTTGAAAATCAAGTGAAAATAATTGAATCAGCAATTGAACAAACTGAATCTCTGATGAAACGAAACTTTAGTACAGAAATCCTTGGATTCAATGAAACATTTGATAAAATCCTAGAGGAACAGGAAAGCCAAGGAAACCGTGATAATGAATGTATTCCTCGGTTTAGTTTCACTAAAAGTGAAAAATTGATTAACGTGTTAAACAATGAAGGTATAGGTAATGTAAAAACTGTTTTTAGCGAAACTAAAGCGCAGCAATCAGGAGCCAAAGGTAAAGAAAGTAGTAAAGTAATTGATGGGAATAAAGCGGCAGATGTTCCCGACAGTGCTCTTAATGCTCAGTTACAAACCAGGAGTTATAGACCTTTGCTGTCATTTGGACAAGAAGGTAAGTCTATTGGAATGCTTAAATATCCCTTGGGGGTGGCAGTGAATGATCGTGATGAAATTGCTGTGACTGAGCTCTGCAACAGCAGAGTTTCAGTGTTTAGTAGCGACGGTACCCACTTAAGATCGTTTGGTAGGGAGGGTCAGAAAAATGGTGAGTTTAAACAGCCTTCAGGGATTGCTTTTGATAGTGTTGGCAATATTGTAGTGGCAGACTGTTATAACCACAGGGTGCAACTCTTTGATAGAAATGGTAAGTTTCTTCGTAAGTTTGGCAAATATGGAACTCTTCACAAGCTTAAAAATCCTGAAGGTTTATCACTAAACGGCAGCGGTCATATTGTTGTAACTGACAGAGAAAACAAATTAATCAAGATATTCACTCCTAGTGGTGAGTATTTAAGAAAATTTGGTGGAGCAGGGGCTTTGGTTGAACCCTATCACTGTATCCAACACGGTCAATATTTTATAGTCTCAGACTATGGTGACGATTCCATTAAAATGTTTGATCTCGAGGGAAAGTTTATTTCTAAATTTGGAAAACAGGGGAACAAGGATGGAGAGTTCAATGAGCCCTGTTATTTGTCAGTTAACAAAAAAGGATTACTAATGGTCTGTGATGCAGGGAATCACAGAGTTCAGGTATTTGAACTGAGTGGAAAGTTTGTTACAAAATTTGGAAGTGAAGGTAGCGGGAAAGGCGAGTTTAATTATCCAGTTTCTACAGCATGTCTTAGTGATGGAAGGATAGTCGTGAGTGATGTGAAAAACGATCGAATCCAGATATTTGACCAAATATGATATGATCTCATCAATAGAAATGCAATTACTTAAAGTGTGATGTACTTTTGATCTACAATTACTCATGTTTCCAGAAGGAAAACACTTTTGACGTAGTTTAGTTTCTTGAACTTTCATGCATACATTAATACTGTAAAAACCCGCGACTAAGAACCTGGTTTTAAGAACGTGTTAGGTAAGCTTAAAATTTGAAACAGGTTCTTCACCTAAAATCTACAAACATAAATTTCAACACTTGGACAATATTCAGGATCCTCTTTGGAGACAGTAGGTGCTTTATTACTCCTAATGGCAATTGGTAATGGTATTTACAGTCTTACCTAGGCAACAAGCTGAATATACCACTAAATACTCTTAGCTACAATGGATGTTTTTCTTTTAGAAAATAACATCCCATTTAAGAACCTAGTAAAATAATTTAAATTTGTGCTAATTACCATTTATGTAACAACCTGTTTAGGCTAACCTGGGATAATCTGATGCAGGTTTTTACTGTAGGATACATCTTTTGTTGTTGCTGATTTCTCTTAGCTGACCTTTCTTATATTATGATGTACAAACTTAACTCAGGGAAACTGCGGGTCAGTGGCCCGTTTCTCGAAAGTCCCGAGAACGTTTCGGGGCTTAAAAGCTGTTTTATGCTTGCTGTGTTGGCATTTAAGATCAAAGTGTCAATAACTTTGAAGATGAAACCATGAAAGTATCAGTTAACAAAGCAAAATTGACCGGTTTGTGATCTTGGACTGAACTGTGCTGCTATAAATTCAGCAGGTTTAGATTTCAAAATTTTTTTCGGACCCAAAAAGTTACCGGGCCTTTCGAGAAACGGGCTGCAAGAGTGTTCAATGGGTAGATATATTTAACAGAAGGGTTTTCATTTTTAATACATTCTAATTTGTTCAATAGCAAAACCAACCTGTGGTTCACATTTTTGTACTAAACTGCTCAGACAGAAGTAGTGCAGTTTCAGGCTTTTTACTTACTTTTCTAGTAATATTAAATGGTAGACTTGATACTTTCAAAAGAGCACAAAGTTTCTCCGATGCGTTTTAGTGTGTATCATTTTTTCATCTACTTATTAAACAATGGACCAGTGTATTTGGTTTTGTAGTTTCGTGTATAACGTGTCCCAATATGTAGAACAATAGAGTGCGAACAATCGTTTAATTTTCTCCAGAGAATCACTAGGGTACAGGCGGCGAGTTGCAAGTCATAAGACCCGAGAATCTAGTCAGATCAGTCTTCTCGGCCGATCGTTTTCGGTTCTTGCCTGAACCTCGTGTGTTACATGTAAATGCCATCTCCTTAACTTTTGACTGAAAGTTAGAAACTGTTGGCAATTTAATACATAACAAAATATTTTTAAAAAGTGTAGATTCTGAATGTTTCGAGTTAGTGTGAAAATTATATAAGCCACCACCGCCATTGTCAAATGATGTATACTAAGAACTATTTAAAAAATACTTTGTATTAATCGTAGTGTGATGGCTATTATGCTATAAATGTGAAAATCTAAACGTAATGATGTATTACATGTAAATTTGTAATAAACTTTAATTCGCATTTTAAAATTTGCTTGGTTTGTCTCACTGATAAATTTGTACCCTAGTGTCTTTCTTGCCCTTACACATTTCAGAGTTTTGCAAAAAAAAAAAAAAAAAAAAAAATTTAAAAGAAAGTACAGCTAGATAGGGCGATAAAATTTTCATTCAAAAATTCCCTGTCAAAATTACGAGACAGTTTGGCTCGTATCTCTGCCCTTTTTAACCGAGTCACGTTGATTCTTCAAGTTCTCTTGTAACATTTCAAATGAGTTTATGCTACAAGGGGCGTGTCCTGCTAGCAGCGTCTCTAGTAAGGGAGTTAACGGCATAACCTGGAGAGTTTTGCACAATCGACAAAGACAAAAATATTATTCCTTAGGGTGTTACTGTCCGGTAAAGAAAGCCAAAAGGAAATCCGTTACAAAATCTTAAAACGAAGAGTCTGCTGGCGCGGTCTTCAAGGGGCGTTGTTCAATGCTAATGCTGCTAAGAGTGGTGTGGTTGAGGTGTGAATTAACCTGAGATCAGGCGGTGCTTCTTCATTTTTTGTTTTGGCAGCGAGGGGGAAAGGACGCCCTTCTTTTTTCCCCTTTCCCCGAAAACAAGCCTGATCGCGGGTTAGGTGTGAATGGGTTAAAGAAGAAACGAAAGGGAAGAGGACTTTATCGAAGTCTATAGTAGAATACCTCGGCCCGTACTTCGAAATAACAGACCGTCGCCCTTTGCTATATAAAAAGCTGGAAAATTTTTTGTGGATATGTAGTTAAGTCCGAGGAATAGAATGATGTCTTCCAGATCTTCAAGGGAAAAGTCATCGGCCTCCTTGTGGACATATGTGTCTATATAGGATGGATGCTCTGTCTGTTAATTAGAATAAATAAATAACAATTTGAATATAAGAATATATTCTTCTCTAGAAGAAGCATTTGAGTTCTGCTGAAGCTCGTTCGCAAATAAGACCAAAAAAACACAAAACTTTACCAAAATCGGTCAGGAGAAAAATAAAATCGAACAAATTTGCATGTTACACCCCAAGTATACCAGATTAATTATGTAAACATTGATTTACGCCATCAATATGGAATATATGTCACTGAGACGGAGACGTTCCCCCTGGAAAAACGTCCTGAGCGGCGAGGAACGAAGAGAAACGGCTGTTTTTGCAGCCTACAGCCTGTCCCGTCTGCCTGTCTGTCTATCTGCCTATCTATCTTTCTGACTAGCACCAAGGATTAACACAGTCAGTCAGGAGCAGGGCTGTTTCATTCCCAGGTTTTTTAGGCTTCTTTTCTTTCCGTGGAGCTTAAAGTAGCTTTTAATACCCATCTGAAAAAGAACCACCTGATGGAGGAGGGTGGTAAAATGTGCGCACGGCTCACTATTAAGCGTTACCAACCTCTCACAAACTGATTGGGTCTTCATCCATCCGTTCGTCCGTCAATGGGAAGCTTAAGCAACAACGAGGCGACGGCTGAAAAAACGTTACTTTAAAAGTGAAGTCGAACTGCTTCAAACTTTATCGCGCTTATTCTGTCTCTTTTAGTTCGTGAAACGTTGGCAGTTTTTTCTGGAGTTGAATTCTAAAAGACTGTATTGAAGTTCAGGAAAAGAAAGAGAAAGTCGTTGTCTTGTGTTCACATTCTCCACAAAATCTGAAATTAGGCATTTTCACGTTGTAGTCGCTAGTGACGGTAAAGAAATGTACGTGAAGCTTGTGAAGAGTTGACGTCGCCATCGTCTTTGCTTAAGATCGCCAATCTGTGTCTGTGTGCCCCTCTGTATATCAATTTGCCCCAACCACCCCACCCCCTTCCCTTTTTCGCAAACTCCTGTTGATACACTTTGTTACAGGCTCTAGAAGTATTAGGGCTAGAGCAACATGACTGCAAATGTATAATTATTACGGTAACTTTCTTTTCCTCAGCCAACGCTTCCCAAGCCGCAGGTAATGATTCATGGCACTAAAACCAGTTGATTATTCCGACTAAGGCTTTAAAATTGTTCTTAAATATCAGGTGCCCGAGGCTGTGAAATACTGGTCCATATCGGTTCAGTTAACCAAAGATATCACTGAGCGCTCGTAATTTTAATATCGATAAGGCGAAAGTGGGTTCTCAGAAAGAACCGACCAATGATAGCTTTTGTTTGGGACCACAACCGACTCACAACAGGAAACTGAAGGCTAAATGTGTTCTGCGACTTGAGTTCAACCGTCATAACGCCAAACTGTATGAAGCTGCGTCTAACGCGTTCTTTGTGTTTCATCCCAATTCAACCAAATGCGAAGACTTCGATCTACCAAAGCCTGTACCAGCGGTTTCACAGGAGAGCGCAGTCGCACAGCTTATTCAGCAGTGACCGCCGAACAGCTTTAAAATGAGGTTCGATCTTCAGGTTATCAATTCTGTCCCTGGTGGCTGGAAAATTGCTGTCAAATTTTCCAAACCGGTGGCAGAAATCTCCAACATAAATAATGCAAGATTTGCGAGCAGGTCTCAAGATAGGCTCACTTTCTACATCGAGAATGTCCCAGGCCAGATCCAGAATGCTAATTTGAAGCAATGCGAAAGAATCAACGTCGAGTTTGCTAGAAAACTGGTGTCCTCACCTGCAAGCAAGACGCTGTCCACTTTTGTGATGTTTGAACGAAAGGAGCCCGAATGCGCTGAGATCAATCCCCCAGGAGCTTGTCCCACAGTTCCCCACTTGAAGTGAAATGATAACCGATCACATCTAAATCCTACAACAACAGTGAGTAGTAATGAGGTAAACTTAAAAGATGAAAATTGACCGCAAATAAAATGTGCTTTATGCTATCCAGTATGCATCAAGAGGATTATTTAACCGGTTTCTCAACAGTCAACCTGATCCCCAGGGCTTTTACCATAGAAAAGGGAACGGAGAGCCGAGGAGACGAGGTTGCTCAAATGTTTCTGGTAGGTAGGTAAAGGCGTACACGAGCCAAAAGCCCAAACGGACGGAGCTTATCCTGTTTTCCTTAGCGTAAAGCATGCCTAGGAGTATCGCCAATCCCCCCCTGGACGGGATGCTAGTCCATCGCAGGGTTCCCCACTAGCACTAGATGACGCCGGTACCGGGCCATTTATACACCTGGGTGAAGAGTACCTTCGGTTCTGGAAGATATTTTTTACTTACCGATACTGATGGTTCGCGACGAAGCCACATCTCCGGAACCTTACCAAACCGTAAGCACGGTTTATTTCATATCAGGTATTCTGAGAACGGACCTCTGGAGCCAGGGTTAGTGAAGAGAGAAAAAGTGGAGAAAAGTTCCTTGTCCAAGGAAACAACGTGACGGGCAAGGCTTGAACCCCGGAGTTTGAGGTGTTACACCCTCTGCCACACACGCCTCCACTGGGCTCACTGAAATATCTATTTCCGGATTCACATATTCTGGCTCGAGAAATGGTAAAATAAACCTGAACAATTATTGGATGAAGTTTTTCTGATATCGAATAATTGTTTTCTTATACAATGTTACCGTTACACGGAACACACATCCTGTTTGTCAGTGCCCTCAGAAATCATGCGGTGTGCTTGCAATCTACAGATTAGTCACTTATCTGCTTGCATAAAACTGGCAAATCAGTCCTGTAGGTTGCGCTGATTTCCAAAATCAATTGTAAGGTCCTTAGCCAATGAAAAGACAGATAATGAATACAATCTACAATAAACCTTAAAAATGATTTTCCGGCTCCTTCTTCGTCGTGTCTGTTCCTCTTCCCAGCCCCTTCTCAAAAATTCAAAAAACACTCAGACATGTATGGTAGTATACTGGTAGGCATGGTAATACCAGCAGCCCATAACTCCTGGTAGTACAGTATACTGAAGTGGCATGGCCTATACATGGTATCATCTCCTATTAACAAAGTGATAGTGTTTAATACAAGTGACATTTAAAAAACAAGACACCCAGAACAAAGAAAATCGAAAGGAAAGACTTCACATCGCAAGGGCGGATCCAGGCGTCCGGGACTTTTCTTAGGTGGGGTTGAACTAGTGAGGAATGGCGTAACTGACTAGTGACGTAAACAAATACCAGTTGAGAAAGCCGCAGGTCTTCTCAGGGGGTGGGAGGGGGCACCCACTGCACCCTCCCCCTAGATCTACCCCTGCATCTAGAAAGGTTACTTCGGTTTGCTAGATGTATTGTACTTCAACGAATGTCGTGTGTGAATTTTTGACCGCTGCAAAGTGATCTGTCTTGGTAACGTAATCAAAAAAAAAAATGCACCAGTGAGCTAGTTGATGCTTCGTAGCGCGGATCAACAGTTCTAAGAAAAACAGGATATTACGTCAAAGTCAAAAAATGCAAGAGACTCTGTTTTATTGGTTGATAAATTAATTATATTAATGTTTAGTCTGGATCAGAAGGATGTAAATAGGTTGGGTTCTTTCAAAACGCCGCTCCTTATTAAATCGCTAACAACAAACTTGCAGTATTTCCAACTTTTAATAACCATTGTTCCCGACCTTTACCATGGATCTAAAGACCTTGCTGGACAATCTTCACGATGAGGTATCCTGTTCTGTGTGTATGTGTACATACACTGATCCAAAGCAGTTGCCTTGTTTGCACAGTTTCTGTCTTCACTGCCTGAACGGAATTCAACGAACGAGCGGCGTCCACGGCAAAATTACATGCCCCGAGTGCAGGAAACAGTTTAAAATCCCTGGAAGTGGAAATCCCAGCGAACTTCCCACCAATTTTCGTATCAATAGTTTTTTCGATGTCTTGGCAATTAAAGAGTGCAGTACAGCTAACGTGAAATGCGGAAACTGCGAGAAAAGAAGCGCGCAGACCTTATATTGCTTCCAGTGTTGTTCTTTCTGGTGCGAGGAATGTATTTTAGCACATAACGTGATACGCACCAACAGAGAACACAAAACGCTGCCGCTAAAAGATTTTCAAGATCAAGACTTCGAGGCCGTGTTAAGGCGACCAGCATTTTGCCAGAAGGAACTTCATGAAAAAGAGGAGCTGAAATTCTTTTGTAAGAACTGTGAAGTGGCAATTTGCAGCACTTGTGCAATGACACTTCATGAGGGTCACGGCAAAATGCTCTTGAAAGAAGCTACAAATGCCCGTAAGACAAAGATAAATTCCATGATTAAATCTTTAAAAGATAAAGTACTGGAAAAACGAAAGGAAGTCGAACAATTCAACCAAAAGAGCATGGAAGTTCAAGCGAAAGTAGCCGACGTAAAAAGCCAAGTGCAGACGAATGTGGACCAAATGACTGCAATCATCGAAGCGAGGAAACAGCATGTTTTTGATGCGGTCGATAATCAAGCGAAAAAATCAATTGAAACACTCTCACAGAAAAAAGGCAAAGTTGAAAATCAAGTGAAAATAATTGAATCAGCAATTGAACAAACTGAATCTCTGATGAAACGAAACTTTAATACAGAAATCCTTGGATTCAAGGAAACATTTGATAAAATCCTACAGGAACAGGGTACCCAAGAAAACCGTGACACTGAATGTACTCCACGGTTTAGTTTCACTAAAAGTGAAAAATTGATTAACGTGTTGAACAGTGAAGGTATAGGTAATGTAAAAACTGTTTTTAGCGAAACTAAATCGCAGCAATCAGGAGCCAAAGGTAAAGAAAGTAGTAAAGTAATTGATGGGAATAAAGGGGCAAATGATCGTGACAGTCCTCTTGAGGCTCAGGTACAAACCAAGCGTTACATTCCTGTGCTATCATTTGGACAAGAAGGTAAGTCTGTTGGAATGCTTAACGGGCCCTGGGGGGTAGCAGTGAACAATCGTGATGAAATTGCGGTGGCTGAGCTCTGGAACGGAAGAGTTTCAGTGTTTAGTAGTAACGGTACCCACTTAAGATCGTTCGGTAGCGAGGGTCAGAATAATGGTGAGTTTAATCAACCTTCAGGGATCGCTTTTGACAGTCTTGGTAATATTGTAGTGACAGACTGTAAAAACCACAGGGTTCAAGTCTTTGATAGAAATGGTAAGTTTCTACGTAAGTTTGGTGGAGATGGAAGTCTTGATCACCAGCTTAAAAACCCTGAAGGTTTATCAATAAACGGCAACGGTGATATTATTGTTGTTGATCAAGGTAACAAATTAATCAAGATATTCTCTTCTAGTGGGAAGTATTTACGTAAATTTGGTGGAGCAGGTTCTTTGGTCACTCCCTATCACTGTATCCAACACGGTCAGTATTTTATAGTCTCAGACTGGGGAAATAATTCCATTAAAATATTTGATCTCGAGGGAAAGTTTATCAGTAAATTTGGAAAAAAGGGGAACAAGGATGGAGAGTTCGATAACCCCAGTTATTTGTCAGTTGACAAAGAAGGATTGCTCATGGTCTGTGATTCAGGAAATTACAGAGTTCAGGTATTTGAACTGAGTGGAAAGTTTGTTATAAAATTTGGAAGTAAAGGTAGCGGGAGAGGAGAGTTTAATTATCCAGTTTCTGCAGCAAGTCTTAGTGATGGGAGGATAGTTGTGGGTGATAAGGAGAACAACCGAATCCAGATATTTGACCAAATATGATATGATCTTGTCCTTAGAAATGCAATTACTTAAAAGTGTGATCTACTATTGATCTAGAATTATTATGTTTTCGAAAAAAAAGCATTTTTGACGTAGTTTAGTTTCTTGATCTTTCTTACATAATCCAAAAAAAAACAGCGACTAAGAACCTGGTTTTAGACCTTTGAGAGTTAGGCCACCTCTATATTACAAATTGTTAAGCCCAAAGTTTGAAACAGGTTCTTTGGCTAAAGTCTACAAACATAAATTCCTAACACTTGGACAATATTCGGGACCTTCTTTGGAGACATTAGTTGCCTTATTACCCCATTGTAATGGTATTTACAGTCTTACCTAAGCAAGAAGCTGACCACTAAATACTCTTAGCTACAATGGATGTTTTTCTTCAGAAATAACATTCTATTTAAGAACCTAGTAAAATAGCCTAAATTTGTGCTAATTACCATTTACCCATTTAATATGTAAGAACCTGTTTAGGCTAAGTTGGGATAATGCAGGTTCTTCGGGCAGGCCCCTATAAAAATTTAAAGAAAAAAGGTTTAGAAAAGAAACTCACCTGTTTTGTTTGTGGTTTTGTTTTACGCTTCTTAAAACTTTTATTCTACGCAAACTTAAGCTTTGTTTTGCTTTGCGGCGGACCGATTGAATAAATTCACAACCATTTTTTTACGATTATCAATTATAAATGCATTTCTAGCGATTCTGGAAGCTTAAAGTTTCCAAATTTTCCATGGTAGCATCCCCCAGGACCCGCTTAGAAACCCCGCGGCTTCGGCGCTCGGGATATTGCTTCCCCCCCCCCCCCCCCACCTAAAACACCCCCCCCCCCCCCCGGTTTCTTACCCACCCTTCCCTTTTTTTTTTTCTAAAAAAAATAATTACCTCTCAACATGACCGGTCAGCGACCTTTTTTTTAGACTCCCACGAATTTTTTGGGGAGCGAAGTGTTTTTTGTTATTTTCCCCCCCCCCCCCCCCCCCAATCTAAAACTTACTCCGCGGTCCCTGGTTTTCTAGCTGACCTTACTCATATTATTATCTAAAAAATAACTTAACTCAGTGAAATTACGGGTCAAGGTCCGTTTTTCGAAAGTCCCGATAGTTTTTCGGGCGGCAAAAGCTGTTTTATGCTTCCTGTGTTTGCATTTAAGATCAAAGTTTCAATGATTTTGAAAATAGTACAATAAAAGTATCAGTCAACGAAGCAAAAACTGACCGGTTTGTGAACTAGGAACTGTGCTACTATTTAACAGGTTTTAATTTAAATTTGCCTTAGGACCCGAAAAGTTACCGGGCCTTTCGAGAATCGGGCCCCTTCAAGATTGTTTGATTGATAAATGTATGTTGTAGGAGGGTTTTCCTTTTTAATACATGTTAACTTGTTCTATAGAAAAACCAGCCTTGGGTCACATTTTTGTACCAAACTGCTCAGTCAGAAGTAGTGCAGTTTCAGGCTTTTTTACTTTCTTTTCTAATAATATCAAATGGTAGACTTGATACTCTCAATAGCGCACAACGTTTCTCCGATGCGTTTTAGTGTGTACCATTTTTTCATCTACTTATTAAACAATGGACCAGTGTATTTGTTTTTGTAGTTTCTTGTATAATGTCTGCCAATATGTAGAACAATAGAGTGCGAACAATCGCTTAATTTTCTTCAGAGAGTCGGTAGCATACAAGATGCGAGTGCAAGTCGTGACACGCGAGAATCGAGTGAGATCAGTCTTCTCGGCCCGCGATGTCTTCGCTTCTTGAGTGGCGTGAACTCGCTTCTCGCTTGACGCTCGTGTGCTACATGAGCCATCTCCTTTACGTTTGAAGAAAAGTAAGAAACTGCTGGCATGACAAAAGATTTTTAAAAATGTAGATTCTGAATGTTTCGAGCTTAAGTGTGAAAGTATAAGCCACCACAGCTTTTGTTAATTGTTAAAGGAATTATTAAAAAAATACTTTGTATAATTTAATCGTAGTGTGATGGCTATCATGCTGTGTGAAAATCTAAGCGTAATGATGTAATGTAAGTAAATTTGTAATAAACTTAAATTTGCAATGTAAAATTTGTTTTGTTTGTCCACTGAGGTTTCCGAATTTTTACGCCAGTTTCCTATACTTGCCCTTAGAGATTTTGCAAAAACAAAAAAATTCGAAAAACCATTTGAGGCTAACATAAGGTTATTTGCTGATCATTATTTCGACAAATTATGATAAAAATAATAATAATAATTCTCTCCTCTACGTTTTCCACGTTTTATTTTCCTCCTCAAAGACCTATATAGGATGAGGTTTTCCTTTTGCTGGACCTTGAAAAGGCTTTATCCCAGTAGGTAAAGTTTACGCGAAAACTCTTAGAGGCCAGAACATCATTCAGTTTTAAGAAAGTACAGCTGGATAGGTGGATAAGATTTTCACTTAAAAATTCCCTGTCAAAACTACATGACCAGTTTAACGTGTATCTCTGCCCTTTTTAACCGAATCACGTTGATCCTTCAAGTTCTCTTGCAACATTTCAAGTGGATTCATGTTACAACGGGCGTGGCCTGTCAGCAGTTTCTCTAGTAAGGGAGTCAATGGCATAACCAAGAGTCTTGCACAATCGGCAAAGACCAAAATATTAATCCCTGGGGTTACCGTATTAATCCCTAGTTAAAAAGCCAAAGGGAAACCCAGTACAAAATCTTAAGACGGAGAATCCCCTGACGGGCTTTTAAGGGGCTTTGTTCAATGCTGCTAAGAGTGGAGTGGTTGAGGTGTGAATGGGTTAAAGAAAAAACGAAAGGGAAGAGAATAATTGCAGTCTATGATAGTCTTATTTTTGGGAACATTGTTGTAAAGTCAGAGGAGAAAAGTGATGTCTTGCAGGTCTTCAGGGGTAAAAGTCATCGGCTTCCTTGTGGAAATATGTGTCCATAGGATGGATTCTCTGTCTGTCGTCGAAACGTCCTTAGCGGCGAGGAAAGAGGAGGAACAGCTGTTTTCGCACGCTAGCGTGTCCTGTGTGCCTGTCTGTCTATCTACCTATCTATCTGGTTCAAGGAACAAGCTGAATACCACATCCTATTTAAGAACGTAACCTAAATAGCCTACATTTGTGCTAATTACCATTTGAATTGTGTACGAGCCTGTTTAGGCTAACGTGGGAAAAATGCAAGTTTTTCGGGCAGGTTTTTACTGTTAGATACATCTCTTGTTGTTGCTGTTTTCCCTTAGCTGACCTTACTCACATTATTATGTACAAACTTAACTCAGTGAAATTGCGGGTCAGCGGCCCGGTTCTCGAAAGCCCCGATAATTTTTCGGGCTCGAAAAGCTGTTATACCTTTGCCTTGGAAAAATTTTGAAAATTATACAATAAAAGTATCAGTTCACAGAAAAAAATTTTGACCGGTTTGTGAGCTAGGAACTGTGCTACTATTCAACATGTTTTGGTTTCAAAAGTTTGCCTTCGGACTCGGAAAAGTAACGGGCCTTTCGAGAAACGGGCCCCAGGTTAATTAGTAAATATATTTTATAGGAGGGTTTTCAATTTTAATACATTTTAACTTGTTCAAAAGAAAAACCAGCCAGTGGTTCACATTTTTGTGCCAAACTGCTCAGACAGAAGTAGTCCAGTTTCAGGCTTTTTTTCTTTCTTTTCTAGTAGTATTAAACATGTTAAATTGAAGACTCGATATTCTCAAAAGAGTACAACGTTTCTCCGAGGCGCTTTAAAGAGTATCATTTTTGATCTTGTTATTGAAAGATGTGTATTTGTGGTTAGGTTTCTTGTATGATGTCTGCCAATACATCCCGGGGGGGGGGGGGGGAATTGCCATATAGGGGCATTTTGGGTTTGTGCCGCGGGGGGGGGTGGGGTTTTCAAGGGGTTTTTTTTGGGGAGGGGTATATAAAAAGAGGGTTTGGGGGTTGGAATGGGGTTTGTTTTTTACAAAAACGAAAAGGTGGGTGGAAAGTTTTTTCAGGACTTGGTGTGGGTTAAAGGGTTTTTTTTGGGTGGGTGTTGGTAGGTGCCCTGAGAGTTTTGGGGAAAAAATCATCTTAGGGAAAGGGGGGTTTGGGGGGTTTTTTTTGTGAAAGGGGTAGAAAAATTCACCTTAACTAAGCCTGGGAAAGGTTAAGGGTTTTTGGGGCCCCGGGGGCAAAAAAATCCCAAAAATACCCCCCCCCCCCCCTCCCACGGGCAATACATTTAGAAGAACAGACCACGAGCAATCGCTTAATTTTCTCTAAAAAATCAGTAGGATATAAGCGGTGAGTGGCAAGTCCACGATAAGCGGGGAATCAGTCGTCTCGGGCGACGTTTTCGCTTCTTGGGTGGTGCGCTTGACGGTCGGCTACATGTGCCACCCGTTTAACTTTTGAAGAAAAGTAGGAAACTGCTGGCAAATGACGAAGGATTTTTTAAGAGTGAAGATTCCATTTAATGTGACAATTTTAATCCACCTAGTCTGCGTAGCAAGCGTTTCCGCGCTTTTGTCATAGGTAACGTAATCCCCGGGGGTTCTCCTGGGAATTCTTGGTGGGGGTGTGCCGCCTGGTTCTCCAAATCTTGACCCTATTTCAGACCAAAAAATATCATTTTTCACACCCGTTTTCAGACCAAACCCAGAAAATCCATACCCGTTCTAGGAAAACATTAGTGAAACTGAGAATAAGCAGTCACAAACTTAGGATTGAGACAGGTAGATACGACAGCATGCCACGTACTCTGCAATTGTAACAGAATTGAAGATGAAACTCACTTTTAATTAGGTTGTCCAAGCTTTTCTTCGATAAGAGAGATATTCTTCTCTCACTAGAACTTAAAATACCGTTTCTACGACTACAATCACATGAGACCTTACTGTATCACATCTAATGAATTCTTAACTGACTATATTATTAACATCCAATTCAGCGATTTCTTTTATATCATCTTGCTTTGAATTGAGAGACAAACTTGTCTCCGGAATAATTAGTCCTACTGATGGCTGAAAGTAAGCAACGATTAATATATTTAAGGTTATTTTAAATATTTAATTTAAAAAGAAATCAATAATTGAATTAAAGTAGTTTTTGCAATACTGTAATACTTTGTTGTAGTCATGCAAATAAAACTTCTTCTTGTCGTTGTCGTTTTCAGACCTGGTCTTTAGGCAGAAATTATGTTATCATTGCTTAGATTAGAGCGCAAACAAAAAATTCTTCAAATCCATTTCGAATTCGCATATTTCTCTTTCTTTCTTACTCATTTGGAATTGAAACGATAAATACGTTCATACACTCCCGTAGTTCCCTCGAAAAGCATACCCGATTCCAGACCAAATTTTTTTTTCAGACCAAAAAGGCCCAAACACCATACCCTTTGAGGTGGCACATACCTTTATAGCTTTCTTAAGGGAGAGCTTCACCGGGAGAGAGAGAGAGCTTCACCAAGGCCGAGGAATACACACCCCAATAAGGCGCTTTAAGCATACTTAAGACAGTGTCTTTTGCAGTGGCAAATCACTGTTTGTCTTTTTTTTCACTCTCCGTAAACTTTTTGCCGCGTTACACTAGGGTTTCTCTCGCCTCCAAATCCCCTTTCCCTTCCCTTTCAAACGCCTGCCACGCAGGTTAACGTTACACTAACACTTTGGACTATCAAAACAGTGATGTAAGTAAAATAATATGTGACAGATCCTCTAGACATGTCAATAGTTCACCTTGTTTTAAAGCGGAGATCAACAATTCCGAGAAAAACAGGATGTATTACGTCAAAACGTAAAAAGATATAAAGGGGCTCATATTGATTGGTTGAGTTTAGTCTGGGTCACAAAAGAGTGGGTTTGCTTATCTCAAAAAGTCGTTCCTCGGATAACCTAGAAAATTTCCTTTGTTTTCCGATCTCCAAATGGATATAAAAATCTTGCTGGACAATCTTCATGATAAACTATCCTGTTCCGTGTGTAGATGTACATTCACTGATCCAAAGCAGTTGCCTTGTTTGCACAGTTTCTGTCTTCAATGTCTGAACGGAATTCAACGAACGAGCGGCGTCCATGGCAAAATAACATGCCCCGATTGTACAAAACAGTTTCAAATACCTGGAAGTGGAACTCCCAATGAACTTCCAACCAGTTTTCGTATCAACAGTTTGCTAGATGTCTTGGCAATTAAAGAGTCCAGTACAGCTAACGTGAAATGCGGAAACTGCGACAAGCGGAGCGCCCAGACCTTATATTGCTTCCAGTGTTGTTCTTTCTGGTGCGAGGAATGTATTTCAGCACATAACGTGATACGCACCAATAAAGAACACAAAACGCTGCCGCTAAAAGATTTTCAAGATCAAGACTTCGAGGCCGTGTTAAAGCGACCAGCATTTTGTCAGAAAGAACTTCATGAAAAAGAGGAGCTGAAGTTCTTTTGTAAGAACTGTGAAGTGTCAATTTGCAACACTTGTGCAATGACACTTCATGAGGGTCACGGCAAAATGCTCTTGCAAGAAGCTGCAAATGCCCGCAAGACAAGGATACACTCCTTGATTAAATCTTTAAAAGATAACTTGCTGGAAAAACAAAACGAGGTCGAACAGTTTAACCAAAACAGCATGGAAGTTCAAGCGCAAGTAGCCGACGTAAAAAGCCAAGTGAAGACTATTGCAGACCAAGTGATTGCAATCATCGAAGCGAAGAAACAGCATGTTTTTGATGCTGTCGATAATCAAGGCAAAAAATCACTTGAAACACTCTCACAGAAAAAAGGCGAAGTTGAAAATCATGTGAAAATAACTGAATCAGCAATTGAAGAAACTGAATCTCTGTTGAAACGAAACTTTAGTACTGAAATCCTTGAATTTAATGAAACATTTGATACAATCCTACAGGGAAAGGGCATCCAAGAAAACCGTGACACTGAATGTATTCCTCTGTTCAGTTTCACTAAAAGTGAAAAACTTTTTAACGTTTTGAACAGTGAAGGTATAGGTAATGTAAAAACTGTATTTAGCGACTCTAAAGCGCAACAGTCAGGGGTGAAACGCAGGACTAGCAGTGAAGCTATTGGTGGGAATAAAAGGGCAAACGTTCGTGACAGTGCTGTTGTGGCTCATTTACAAACCAGGCGTTTCAGACCTGTGCTGTCATTTGGACAAAAAGGTGAGTCTGTTGGAATGCTTAACAGGCCATGGGGGGTGGCAGTAAATGATCGTGATGAAATTGCTGTGACTGAGCTCTGTAACAACAGGGTTTCAGTGTTTAGTAGTGACGGTACCCACTTAAGATCGTTTGGAAGGGAGGGAAAGAGTAATGACGAGTTTGAGCAACCTTCAGGGATTGCTTTTGATAGTCATGGTAATATTTTAGTCACAGACTGTAAAAACCACAGGGTGCAAGTCTTTGATAGAAATGGCCAATTTCTTCGTAAGTTTGGCAAACATGGAACTTTTGATCACCAGCTTAGTTTTCCTGATGGTTTATCAATAAACGGCAACGGTGATATTATTGTTGCTGATAAAGGTAACAAATTAATCAAGATATTCTCTTCCAGTGGAGAGTATTTACGTAAATTTGGTGGAGCAAGCCTGATCGAACCCTACCACTGTATCCAACACGGCCAATATCTTATAGCCTCAGATGCTGGTGACGACTCCATTAAAATGTTTGATCTTAAGGGAAACTTTATCTCTAAATTTGGAAAACAAGGGGAAGAGGATGGGGAGTTCCATGGGCCCTATTATTTATCAGTTAACAAACAAGGATTGCTAATGGTCTGTGATTCAGGAAATCACAGAGTTCAGGTATTTGAACTGAGTGGAAAGTTTGTTACAAAATTTGGAAGTGAAGAAAGCAGGAGAGGAGAGTTATATTGTCCAGCTTCTACAGCAAGTCTTAGTGATGGAAGGATAGTTGTGAGTGATGAGCATAACCATCGAATCCAGATATTTGACCAAATATGATGTGATCTCATCCTTAGATATGCAATTACTTATTAATAAATGTTTGATCTACTATTGATCTACAATTACTATCATTGACGACTTAGTTAGTTTCTTAATCTTTCATACATAATGCAGTAAAAACCCGCGACCAAAAATCTGGTTTTTAGGAACATTTTGACAGTTATGCCACCTCTATACAAGAACCTGTTAAGCCTAAAATTTGAAACAGGTTCTTTGGCTTAAGTCTATAAGAAATATTCTGAACGTAACTCTTGGGCAAATAAGATAAGTCAACATTCAGGATCCTTGTTGGAGACATTGGGTGCCTTATTACTCCAGCCGTAATTGTAATGGTATTTACAGTCGTACCTAAGCAACAAGCTGGATACCACTTAATACTCTTAGCTACAATGGATTTTTTTTCTTCAGAAAACAACGTCCTATCTAAGAACCTAAATAGCCTAAATTTGTGCTAATTACCATTTATGTAAGAACCTGTTTAGGCTATGTTAGGATAATGCAGGTTCTTCGGGCGGGTGTTTACCGTAGGATACATCGCTTGTTGTTGCTGTTTAACCTTAGCTGACCTTACTCATATTATTATGTAAAAAATAATTCAACTCAGTGAAAATGCGGGTCAGGGTCCGTTTCTCGAAAGTCCCGATAACTTTTCGGGCAGCAAAAGCTGTTGTATCAGTTTATGCTTCCTGTGTTTGCAGTTAAGATCAAAGTTTCAATAATTTTGAAAATAATACAATAAACGCATCAGTCAACGAAGCAAAATTGACCGGTCTGTGAACTAGGAACTGTGCTACTATTCCACGGGTTTTAATTTCAAAATTTGCTTTCGGACCCGAAAAGTTAACGGGTCTTTCGAGAACCGGGCCCCTTCGAGATTGTTTAATTGATAAATGTATGTTATAGGAGGGTTTTCAATTTTAATACATTTTAACTTGTTCAATAGAAAAACCAGCCTGAGGGTCACATTTTTGTACCAAACTGCTCAGTCAGAAGTAGTGCAGTTTCAGGCCTTTTTACTTACTTTTCTAGTAATATAAAATGGTAGACTCCATACTCTCAAAAGAGCACAACGTTTCTCCGAGCGCTTTATTTAGTGCACATCATTTTTTCATCTACGGTAACAATAGTGTATTTGTTTTTGTTGTTTCTTGTATAATGTCAACCAATATGTACAGCAATAGACCGCTAACAATCGCTTAATTTTCTTCAGAGAATCAGTAGCAAGCGGCGAGTGCAAGTTGTGAGACGCGAGAATCGAGTGAGATCAGTCTTCTCGGCCCGCGATGTCTTCGCTTCTTGAGTGGCGTGAACTCGCTCCTTGCCTGACGTTCGTGTGCTACATGTGCCATCTCCTTTACGTTTGAAGAAAAGTAAGAAACTGCTGGCAATTGAATAAATGACAAAAGATTTTTAAAAAGTGCGTAGAATCTGAATGTTTCGAATTTGGACGTATAAGCCACCACAGCTTTTGTCAAATGTTATAAGAATTATTAAAAAAATACTTTGTATAATTTAATCGTAGTGTGATGGCTATCGTGCTGTGTGAAAATCTAAGCATAATGATGTAATGTAAGTAAATTTGTAATAAACTTAAATTTGCAATGTAAAATTTGTTTGGTTTGTCCACTGAGGATTCCGAATTTTTATCCCAGTTTCCTACTTGCCCTTAGTATTTTTGCAAAAACCAAAACAATTCGAAAAATTATTTGAAGCTAAGATAACGTTTTTTGCTGATCACTATTTCGACAAAATAATGATAAAACTAATAATAATAATAATAATAATAATAATAATAATAATGAAACGTTTATTATTGTGGGCTGGCTTTTTCTGCTAGTGTTAAAGTTCACGTTCGCACAGAGCTCTCCTCCGCGTTTTCGACGTTTTATTTTCTTCCTCGAAGACCTATATAGGGCAAGGTTTTCCTATTGCTGGACTTTGACAAGGCTTTATCCCAGTACGTATAGTTTACGCGAAAACTCTTTAAGCTAGGACACATTTCAGTTTTAAGAAAGTATAGCTGGATAGGGGGATAAGATTTTTACTTAAAAATTCCCTGTCAAAATGACATGACCAGTTTAACGTGTATCTCTGCTCTTTTTAACCGAATCACGTTGATCCTTCAAGTTCTCTTGCAACATTGCAATTGGATTCATGTTACAAGGGGCGTGGCCTACCGGCAGTTTCTCTAGTAAGGGAGTCAATGGTATAACCGAGAGTTTTGCACAATCGGCGAAGACCAAAAACATTAATCCCTGGTTAAAACGCCAAAGGGAAACCCAGTACAAAATCTTAAGACGACGCGTCTGCTGGCGGGCTTGTAAAGGGCTTTGTTCAATGCTGTTAAGAGTAGATTGCCGTTTAGGTGTTAACGGGTTAAAGAAAAAACGAACGGTTAGAGAATAATTGCAGTCTATAATAAAATACCTCCGCCCTCGCTTCGAAATAACAGACCGTCGCGCTTTGTTATAAAAAAAGCTCGAACAGCTTATTTTTTGGGAAAATTGTTGTAAAGTCCGAAGCAAAAAATGATGTCTTGCAGGTCTTCAAGGGTTAAAGTCATTGGCTTCCTTGTGAAAATATGTGTCTATAGGATGGATTCTGCGTCTTTTGATTAGAATAACTAAAGAACCATTTGACAGTCTGGAAGGGAGTAGACTCTCCCCACCCTGCCCCCATTGTATAATTATTGTCTCACTTGGGGTATTAAGAATATGGATGAGCTATCTACGGATATTGCATAAGTCTGTGCGAGAAAAAAAAGAAAACTAAAGGAAATAAAAAAAGGAAAATATGGTACTGAAAAGAAGAGGGGAGGAAAAAATTTTGGAACAACAGCAAGGTCCGTAATAACTCTTAGTTTGCTTTCTCTTTAAGAATGATATTTTTGAGGTCAAATAAAGCTTGGGCCACGCCTAGATTGAACTCCATGTTTTGGTAAAGCTGCCCCACCCTCGTCAACATTAACAGTCGCGTTTATATAAGTCGTTAATATAAACGTTCTTAATTGCTCCCGGTACTGTATTAACTGCCTTTTGACATATCTTTTAAAATTTGCCAACGTTTAACAACTTACGAATTATATTCAACTCGTGGAAAGACATGGAAATTACACAATTGTTGAAGTTGTCATACGAATATTCATTTAAAAAAATTGTTCAAAAGCATGTTAAAAATGTTTGCAAAAACAACTTACTTTCACCAATTTATAGCACCACACGAACTAAGTGTAATAAAATGAGATGGAATAACTGTCGAAGTCAGCCATGAGAACTTTAACGGTTAATCAGTATTTATGATTTCCAACAATTTTAGTAATTTCTTTCAAAACCAAGAAGCTGTCTTTATTGGAAAAAGTGTGATACTGAATTCTACAATCCTTTTTTTTTTTTCAAAATTGGTTTCGCAGGCGTAGCTATGTCGTACGGTAGACATTAATTAACAATTACCTGACATGATTGTCACAAGAACTAGAAAATACAGAGACATATTTCCTTCTTATTCATCACCCAACAGCTTAACTCATAATAGGGTATAAGATCTTCCTTTTCTTTACTGCTTTGCTGGAGATCATAATAAAAATGGGTTTGATAGATAAAACGTAACTTTGAATGATTTCATTTGCGTGCTTGAGGCTAGCGTTTTAAATTTTTAGGGCCGTTCTTTGTCAAGAAAACAGCATTTGCCAATGAAAGGCAATTTCTAGAATTTTTCTAAGAAATTTCCTATCTATGTTCAAAGGCGAAATGTACTGGGCATGGGCGCTGGCCAAACCATCCGTGGTAGCGCTGTACTGATTACGAGTGAGTCGAGGCCTTCAAGCTAATAATAAACGTCCCAATGCAATACTCAGTTCCTGACGGCTGGAGAATGGCCTTAATATTTTCGCAGCCAATCAGAAAGGTCGACTTTTGGCGCGCAAAAGAATTAAAAGAAAAAACGTCCTCCGACAAGAAGACACACTCCTTGAAAAACATATATTTTAATTCGCGTTTGGCAAGGGGCCCTGCGCCAAACGCGATTTAGGGAAATTTTAACAATGGCTGTGGTAGCTTAAAAATCCAAGCTTGACTCGAAACCCGGCAATGTCAGAATTCTGTTTAAAGGAGAAAATGTCATTCCAGCCCTCCCTACTCTACCCCTGGTAGGTTACAACATGACAATCAGTCACAGGTAGCAATGTAGGGTGCGAGCGATTGATTGAAAGATTTGGTACGAACCTCTTTAAGTGTACCGTAATTTTTGGCCGTCTTAAGGTGGCTGGAACCTATTAATGATATGCGCGTCAGTGGTCATGTTTTTGAATCGTGTTTTTCTGCGCTGGAACGCAATCCAACAGATTTCTATGATTTCATGGCATTCTTAATAAAAAATGGTCGAACTTTATTTTCTCGTAGGTATAAAAACGTTTGAGATATCGGCATATGTTTAAAACCTCATTTTTACAAAAAATGTCAATAACTTCGAAACCCTAAGACACTTCAGCAGATAAGTCTCAGAGCTCTCTAGTTTTATTTCTGCAACTTTGAAGTCAGTCGTGACTTTAGAACTCGCTGCACAAAATGTTTGTCAAATTTAACCTTAAAATGCAACCCAACGCAGGAGAAGGGTGCGGACGGACTATCTGCCCCTGAAAGCTTTTTTGCAAGAAACTGAGTAATCAGAAACCTACGGCGAATATAGTTCGCAATACAAAAAGAACAACCTCATGCTAAATGCGGGGCAAGATTAAAGAACTTCTATTCAGTCTATTTAACAAAGGTACTGTGATTTTGCCCTTCTCTTTTCGAAAAATATCTCAACAAAGCAATATAGCATCTACAGAAATCGCCTATCAAGTTTTGGCACCGAAGGTTCCCGTCTTCAGGAGAAATAAAGTCACCAACTCAAGTGCTTCAACCGCGGGCAATCCCTTTAGTTCAGCTGCAATGAAAACCCTTGTATTTGGTAATTTATTCAAGCTTGCTAGATTTGCCATCACATTCGCACGCGTGGGCCGTTTGCCTTTGGGGATGATGAGAAAAATAAGACGATTACCATATTTTTCTTCACGATCTTTATCCCCAAGTGGCAAACTTCGATTCCCGAGCGAATGTCATGACAAGTCTAAAGAGGGTGAATAAATTACCAAGTACAAGGAATTTCGGTGCAGCTGAAAAATGGATGTTTAGAATTACTGGAGTTGGTGGCTTTATTTCTCCTCAAAAAGGAAACCTTTCGCCGTAGGTTTCTGATTACTCAGTTTCTTGCAGTAAAGCTTTGGCCAAGAACAATCCTTGCAGATAGGAGATAGTCTGTCCGCTCGGCACCCTTCCCCTATTTGTGCGTCAACTTTCACAAATGTGTTAGCGTTGCATATATTTTAGGTTAAATTTGACCTGAAATTTTTTGTAGCGACTATTACGATCACGATTGACTTCAAACTTGCACATATAAGGCAAGAGAGCTCTGAGACTTATTTGCTGAAGTTAGAGCAAAATCTGTCGTAGGGTTTCGAAGTTACTGACGCTTTTTGTAAAAATGAGGTTTTAAAGATATGCCGATATCTCACACGTTGTTATACCTGCAAGAAAATATTTAATAACGTTTTGTTAACGTTCCACCATTTTTTATTAAGGATGCTAAAAATCATAGAAATCGGTTAAATCGTTTCCGTCGAAAAACGCGATTCAAAAACGTAACCAACACGCATATAAAAAGGTTAGGGCCACCTCAAATGCTACATACATCGGGATATTTTATTTCAAGCAGATTTTTAGATATTATAAAGTAATGAATGCCAAAACAGAGATTATTCCATTTATTCATATTCCGGAATAAAGTCAATCGAACACGCCCTAATAGAGGAGATCTAGAATAGAATAACTCTGTAATTGCGCCCCGGGGAGACTCCCCTCTAAAACTGACGAGGATGCTCGTCGTCTGGCTTGGGGTTGTAAATTGCAAATTTTGGTCTCACTTAGGGTGTTTGGGACGCAAAGTCACCATAATTATTTGCCCATTCAGGTACCGCCTAGGTATGCCGTGACGCCTGTATGGTCTCTTTTAGGGGTCAGTTTAAACTTGAGCCCCACCCACATTGGTCTAAATTAATTTTCCGACGAGCATCCCCGTCCATTTGTATGGGAGTCCCGCAGGGAATTGAGCATTGTCGTGATCAGCCTCTCTGTCTATCATTTAGTACAATTAGAAATTGTACTGAGTTTCCCTTCTTTAGGGTCAACAGAACTGACCGACGGAAAGTTGTCTATAGAAAACAAGATGTTTAACGGTAGAATTTCATATCTTTCATTCCAGTGCGTAACGGTTTGTACATTTCCTTAAAAATAGCAAGCAATGATTTAAAGAAGGTTGTTTTGAAAACCTTCCTGGTAGCAAAGTATCGTTCATTAAAATGGTCTCTCATGTGGCTGGTGTTCATCTGTCAGCCTGTCATGTCTGCCTGCCTGCCTGCCTGCCTGTCTGTCAGTCTGTCTGCCTATCTATCTCTCTGACTAGGACCACGGATTAACACAGTCGGTTGGTTCGGGGTGTACTTTCAGGTGTGTCCTCGATTATTTTTTCGGCTTCTTTCCTTTCCGTACAACTTAAAGAAGCGTTTATGCTACCCGGTATACGTCAAGAGGATTATTTGACGGGTTTCTCAATAGTCAACTTCGTCCCCAGGGCTTTTACCATAGAAAATGGAACGGAGAGCCCTGGGGACGAGGTTGCTCAAATGTTTCTGGTAGGAAGGTAAAGGCTCGTATGAGCCAAAAGCCCAAACAGACTTAGCTTATCCCGGTTTCTTTAGCATAAAGCATGCCTAGGAGTATTGCTAACCCCCCCCCCCCCCTGGACGGAATTCTAGTCCATCGCACCGGCCCAATTATACACCTGGGTGAAGAGTACCCTGGGTTCCAGAGGATATTTTTTTCTTATCGATACTGATGGTTCGCGGAGAAGCCGCGTCTTCGGAGCCTTATCAAACCGTAAGCACGTTTTCTTTCATATTAGGTATTTTGAGAACGGACCTCTGGAGCCAGGATAGGTAGAGAGAAAAAGTGAAGAAAAGTTCCTTGTCCAAGGAAACAACGTGACGGGCGAGGCTTGAACCCCGGAGTTTGAGGTGTTAGCCCCTCTGCCACGAAGGCCTCCACTGGGCTCACTGAAATATCTATTTCCGGATTCACATATTTTGGCTCGAGAAATGGTAAAATATACCTGAACAATTACTGGATGAAGTTTTTGTGATATCCAATAATTGTTTTCTTATACAATGTCTCAGTCACACGGAACATACATCCTGTTTGACATTGCCCTTAGAAATCATGCAGTGCGCTCATGCAATCTACAGATTAGTCAATTATCTGCTTGGCAAATCAGTCCTGTAGGTTGCGCTGATTTCCAAAATCAATTGTAAGGTCCTCAGCCAATGAAAAGACAGATAATGAATACACTCTACAATAAACTTGAAAATGATTTTCCGGCTCCTTCTTCGTCGTGTGTGTTCCCTCTTCCCAGCCTCTTCTCAAAAATTCAAAAAAACACTCAGACATGTGTGGTAGTACACAGGTAGGCATGGTAATACCAGCATCTCATAACTCCTGGTAGTACAGTATACTGAAGTAGCATGGTCTCTATATGGTATCATTTCCTATTAACAAAGTGACAGCTCCTGGTGACAGTGTTTAGCACGAGTGACATTTTAAAAACGAGACACCCAGAACAAAGGAAATCGAAAGGAAAGACTTCACATGGTAGGGGCGGATCCAGGAGTCCAGGACATTTCTTAGGAGGGGGTGCGCTACGAAGGACTGGCGTAACTGACTGCTGGCATAAACAAATACCAGTTGTATTAGAAAGCCGCAGGTCATCTCGGAAGGGGGGGAGCGCACCCCCCTGCACCCTCCCCCTAGATCTGACCCTGCATCTAGAGAGGATAACTTCGGTTTGCTAGGTGTATTGTACTTCGACGAATGTCGTGTGTAGATTTTTGACCGCTGCAAAGTGATCTGTCTTGGTAACGTAATCCAAAACAAAATGCAACAGTCAACTACTTGATGCTTCGTAGCGCGGATCAACAGTTCTAAGAAAAAACAGGATATTACGTCAAAATGTCAAAAAATGCAAGAGACTCTGTTTGATTGGTTGATAAATTAATTATATTAATGTTTAGTCCTTGTCAGAAGGTTGTAAATAGGTTGGGTTCTTTCAAAACGCCGCTCCTTATTAAATCGCTAACAACAAGCTTACAGTACAGTCCAACTTTTAATAACCATTGTTCCAGACCTTTTCCATGGATCTAAAGACCTTGCTGGACAATCTTCATGATGAGGTATCCTGTTCTGTGTGTATGTGTACATATACTGATCCACAGCAGTTGCCTTGTTTGCACAGTTTCTGTCTTCGCTGCCTGAACAGAATTCAACGAACGAGCAGCGTCCATGGCAAAATAACATGCCCCAAGTACAGGAAGCAGTTTAAAATCCCTGGAAGTGGAAATCCCAGCGAACTTCCCACCAATTTTCGTATCAATAGCTTGGTCGATGTCTTGGCAATTAAAGAGTGCAGTACAGCTAACGTGAAATGCGGAAACTACGAGAAAAGGAGCGCTCAGACCTTATATTGCTTCCAGTGTTGTTCTTTCTGGTGCGAGGAATGTATTTTAGCACATAACGTGATACGCACCAACGAAGAACACAAAACGCTGCCGCTAAAAGATTTTCAAGATCAAGGTCGTTAAGGCGACCAGCATTTTGCCAGAAGGAACTTCATGAAAAAGAGGAGCTGAAATTCTTTTGTAAGAACTGTGAAGTGGCAATTTGCAACACTTGTGCAATGACACTTCATGAAGGTCACGGCAAAATGCTCTTGCAAGAAGCTACAAATACCCGTAAGACGAAGATAAATTCCATGATTAAATCTTTAAAAGATAAAGTACTGGAAAAACGAAAGGAGGTCGAACAATTCAACCAAAAGAGCATGGAAGTCCAAGCGAAAGTAGCCGACGTTAAAAGCCAAGTTCAGACGAATGTAGACCAAATGATTGCAATCATCGAAGCGAGGAAACAGTATGTTTTTGATGCGGTCGATGATCAAGCGAACAAATCATTTGAAACACTCTCACAGGAAAAAGGCAAAGTTGAAAATCAAGTGAAAATAATTGAATCAGCAATTGAACAAACTGAATCTCTGATGAAACGAAACTTCAGTACAGAAATCCTTGGATTCAATGAAACATTTGATAAAATGCTACAGGAACAGGGCACCCAGAATCAAAACCGTGACGCAGAATGTATTCCTCGGTTTAGTTTCACTGAGAGTGAAAAACTGATTAACGTGTTAAAAAGTGAAGGGATAGGTAACGTAGAAACTGTTTTTTTATGAAACTAAAGCGCAACCATCAGAAATGAAAGGCAAAGAAAGCTGTAGTGAGGTAATTGCTGGTAATAAAGGGACAGGTTTTCGTGACAGTCCCTTAAAGCCTCAGTCTATTCAGGTACAAACCAGGCGTTTCAGACCATTCTTTTTCAGACCTGTGCTATCATTTGGACAAAAGGGTACTTCTGTTGGGATGCTTAACCTGCCCTGTTGTGTGGCAGTGAATAATCGTGACGAAATTGCTGTGTCCGACTTCTGGAACCACTGTATTTCAGTATATAGTAATGACGGTACCCATATAAGGACGATTGGTAGAATTGGTTGGAAGAATGGTGAGTTAATTTACCCTATAGGGGTTGCTTTTGACAGTCTTGGTAATATTGTTGTAGTAGATAGTGATAACCACCGTGTACAGGTCTTTGATGAGAGTGGTAACTTTCTTAGTACATTTGGTGAACAAGGAAGCCTTGATCACCAGCTGAATTGCCCTGCAGGTTTATCAATAACCGGCGACGGTGATTTTATTGTTGCTGATACTGAAAACCAATTGATCAAGATATTCTCTCCTAGTGGAGAGTATTTATCTAAATTTGGTGGAGCAGGTTCTTTGGTCGCCCCCTATCACTGCATCCAACACTGTCAATATCTTATAGTGTCAGACTGGAGTGATCATTCCATTAAAATGTTTGATCTTGAAGGAACATTGATTTCTAAATTTGGTAAGAAAGGGGACAAGGATGGAGAGTTTATCGAGCCCCGTCATTTGTCAATTAACAAAGAGGGATTCCTAATGGTCTGTGATGGATGGAATAACAGAGTTCAGTTATTTGAATTGAATGGAGAGTTCGTTACGAAGTTTGGAAGTAAAGGGAGTGAGAAAGGAGAGTTTAGATATCCGCATTCTACAGCAAATCTTAGTGATGGAAGGATAGTTGTGTGTGACGAGCAAAACAGTCGAATCCAGATATTTGACCAAATATGATATATACTTAATTTTAGAAGTATGGATGCAATCACTTAAAAATGTAAACTACATGTGCTACTGATGTACAAAGAGTCGTGCGCTTTGGTTTAGGAAATGTTAGCACCTGCCGATCTGTGGGCCATTTTAAGAAGACAAATGTTTTTCTAGTCTACGCCATATCATATGCTCTCATGAAACTGTTCACAGACTGAAAAGCGTTCGGTAAACTAAAAATGGCTTAGAACGGGGTTTTGTTAAATACTGGCTACACTCCGTTTAACTAACTGGCCCTGAAGGTTTATCAATAAGCGGCACCAGTGATATTATTATATTGTTGCTGATACTGGTAAGAAATTAATCAAGATACAGTAAACACCTGCGAATAAGAACCTGCTCTTTTGAAGTCTGGCAAAATAGGTTCCGTTGTATTCTGGGGTACTGATTGGCAATTTAGGCTCATGAACGAGATAATAGATTGCATTGTTGATTACCGGGAAACTAAATAAACTTGGGTTTTGTCCTTTAAAATACAGTATTTATCCACAATTTTAATTATAATTACAACCCTAACAAAAACTGATTACCGTATTTATATACAGTTTACTTGGTACAGTGTGTTTCTGTTCAGTACTTAATAAATTTACAATCTCAAAGTTACGGTCCTTGATTAAATTGTTTATCATTATATATTTAAATGTAACCCACACCTTAACCTTATCTTGCTAGCCTAAACAGGTTCTTGTATTTTTGGACATAAAAGTGGTACATTTCTGCCAGGTTGCATAAACACCTAGGGGAAGACAAGGAGTTAATTCACTAGGTTCTTATTTGCAAGCGTATTCTCTTCTATTGAATACTTTCATAAATTTGAAGGAGCGGGTCCTTTAGTCTGCGCACTTCCAACACAAAACATTGCCAAAATCAAAAAGGAGAAACATAAAATCGAACAAATTTGCCTTTTAAACCCCATGACTACCGGATTAATTTTGTAAACATTGATTTACGTCATCAGTATGGAATTTCTGTCGCTGATGAGCAGACGTTTTTCCTGGCGAAACGTCCTGAGCGGCGAGAAACGAAGAGAAACGGCTGTTTTCGCAGGCTAGCCTGTCCCGTCTGCCTGTCTGCATATCTATCTCTCTGACTAGGGCCACGGATTAACACAGTCGATCAGGAGCCTGGCTGTTCCATTGCCAGGTGTGACCTACTCGATACTTTTTCCGGCTTCTTTCCTTTCCGAGGAGCTTAAAGTAGCTTTTAATACCCGTCTGAAAAAGAAGCACCTGATGGAGGAGGGTGGTAAATTCAGCGCACGGCTCGCGCAGCCTCAGGTTAGTCATTTTACTGTGTACGTGCTATTAACCCTATTCAGACTGGGGGGGGGCTTTTCGAACCCCCCCTCCGGCAAAATCGTGATAACTCCTACACCGAAAGAGCTATGACGTTCAAATTTTCTGACTTTTCCTAAAATTTATCTAGGAACATTTTGGTATAAATACCATGTCCATGTGATTAATCATGTTGCCATGGCAACCAGTTTCTGACACATAGGTTTTGGAAAATTTAAAAAATGGTGATTTTTTTGTTTTAAGATCGCGTTTTTACACTTATAGTGCTTTTTGTTGTTAAAATGGTCTTTGCTTGGGACTAGTTTTTGAATTACATCAAAATGTTTCAACATGGAATATTTAGGGGGGAGGGGTGGGGTAAAATTTGTCACCTTTTTTGCTTTGCCAATATGCTGTTCTATTTTCCAAATAACACTTCCAAAGTCATTTGTTTGGGTAATAAACATTAGTTTGATACTTCTTTTATACATTCTGAGCTTTTTCCCCTATGAAAGTTGCTTTAAATTATAATTTTAACAAAAAAACGGAAATCCAAGATGGCGGATCCAAGATGGCGGATCCAAGATGGCGGACAACCATTTCAAATTTTAAATTTTATTGCTTCCTATTGCTTTTTCTCGCTGTACAAGTGTTTCCTTGTTACTAGTTCATAAGAAAGGATAACAAAGAGATGACTTTACCAATATTATTGATATTTTACGTATCCAAGAGGAAAAATAATAAGAAACATTGAAAAATCGGAATATGACGTCACTGTGACGTCATCATTGGGCGTGGCAAGTCAAAACTGGGTGTGGGGCTTCTTTGTACGGAGATGATCATTGTGTGTAAATTTCATGACCCTAGCATTATTGGTTCCAGAGATACAGAGGGGGGTCCGAAGAGCCCCCCCCAGTCACAGATTGACCAAAAAAGCCCAGTCTGAATAGGGTTAAGTGTTACCAACCTTTCACAAACTGATTGGGTCTTCATCCATCCGTTCGTCCGTCAATAGGAAGCTTAAGCAACAACGAGGCGACGGCCACGAGAACGTCTCTTAAAAAGTGAAGTCGCGCTGCTTCAAACCTTACCGTGCTTATTCCATCTCTTTCAGTTCGTCAAATTTTGGCAGTTTTTTCTAGAGCTGAATTCTAAAAGACTGTATTGAAGTTCAGGAAAAGAAAACAAACTCGTTGTCTTGTGGTCAAATTCTCCACAAAACGTGAAATTAGGCATTATCACGTCGTAGTCGTGCAGTGACGGTAAAGAAATGTACGTGATGCACGTGCAGAGTTGTTGTTTTGCCAATCTAAACCTTTAACTCTTTTTTGCCGTTCTCGTTGACGTTGCCGTCGTCGTTGCTTTCGCTCCCTATTCCTGTTTTTGTGCACCCCTCTGTATATTAATTTGCCCCACCCTCCCCCTCCCCTTTTCGCAAACTCCTGTTGATACACTTTGTTACTGACTCTAGAAGTGAGAGCTAATACAACTGACTGCAAATGAATAATACTTTTTTTTCCCTTCGCCCACGCCTCCTGAGCCACAAGTACTGATTCACCACTGAAACCAATTGATGAGTCCGACTCAGGTTTCAAAATGATCCTTAAATATCAAGTGCTCGAGGCCGTGAAATACTGGCCCATATCTCCAAGTTCACAAAAGATATCAGCACTAAAGGTGAAAGGTGAAACCAGACAGCAAATAAAACTGATGTGCGTTATGCTATCCAGTCTACGTTAAGAGGATTATTCAACTGGTTTCTCAACAATCAACCTCGTCTCGAGGACTGCTCCTTTAGAAAACGGAAGGGGAAGCCCTGGGGACAAGTTTGTTTGAAAGTCTCTTGGCTCACTGAAATATCTATTTCCAGATTCACATATTTTGGGGCTGTTCGAAAAATGGTAAAATATACCTGAACAATTATTGAATGAAGTTTTTCTGATATCCACTAATTGTTTTAGTATTCATTGTTACCGTCATACACAGAAAATACTATTTGACATTGAGCTACATTGCCCTCACTTATCACGCAGTGCGCGCACAGTCTACAGATATGTCAATTATCTTCTAGCAAAAAACTGACAAATCAGTTCTGTAGGTTGCACTGAGTTCCTGAATAAACTGCAGGGTCCTAAGCCAATGAAAACACTTAGTGAATAGAATCTATTCTTGGTTTTCACACGACGTCACCAAAATTCAAACTAAGAAACTTTCGATTCTTCTGAATTTCTTCTTTCATAATGTATTACAATACCTAAACACCTTTATGCAAACAAATTTTTGGTTCCAAAGGGTTCTTCGTTTTGCGACAAAGGCCAGGGTTTAGCGTGACGCGTTATTTAGCCTTTCTTAACTACTGCACGGTAAGCTCCTACGTGGGTTAAAAACGTTACCTAGTTTAAGAGAGTTTACTATCTAAACATTCCTTGTCTCAGAATAAATATTACTTTAATCTTTATGAGTTCCTCAAACGATGAATTCACGCATAAGTAGGAAAATTAAAAAACCGATGTTTGTGTTGTTTCCGGCAGCCATATTGATGCCCCTCAAAGGAACATTTTATTTCATTTTCAATCGAAAAGAATTGTCTTTAATTGAAATGAGTTTTTTTTTTATTGAAATGATTTTTTTTAATCGAAATGAATTCTAAAAGGGACATCAACATAACACCTTCATACAATGCTTTATTAATTTGGGTAAAACGTTTTTCCGAATATCTCGCATATGAAATATAGCACAGGTCCAGGAGCCCATCAAATGGAGCCTCCATCTCCATTAATTTCTTGAGTCAACCCTTTCCCGAGTAGATTTATAAATAGAACGGCTTGTTTCCCGCGAAAAGTGTCATATTTCCGCGAGTCTCGTATGTCACCGGGAAAAAATAGAGCTGGATGAAGTCGAACTCAGAAGCCCAGAAAACAAGAATTTCGATCCGCCACGTGGGTATTTATGTTCAGTTCAAAGCTCAACAGACAGAACGGCTGTACCGTTCTCGCCACGACAAAGTACAACTAAAGTTGCTCTTGTAAAAGCAACTAAGCACAAAGCCAACCCGGCAACTGATGAGGTTCGTGAGGAGAACCGAAACCATGGTCTTGCCTGATCACAAACTGTGGCAATAACAAAACAGTTTAAAGACTGTTAAGCTTATTCAAAGCTATTACCAGGGGAGGAACTACGCGCTCCAGTCAAAAGACTCACACTATCTTTAGAAAAACACTAAGCTGGAGTTTACTGAGTCACAATTCAATTCTCCAGTAAGTTTATGTAGCTTCAGTTTAAGCTGCAGTTCACTCGTATAATTTTGGATCTGTAAGTCACTATCCGTGATAATTTAACATTCTGCAAAGAAAACTGACGAGCTGGGCCCAGCGTGATACAGCATTGCAGAAAAACATTACACTCACGGCCTAAAGAAAATCGCTTAGATCAGATCCAGAAGGCACTTTGGAGAAAATTGGAACCCTTATTCAGCCGTAATAAAAAAGCTTTACGCTTCAAACGAGGTCAAAGAAAATGCGCTTGCATTAGAGGGCAAATCCTGCAGACCAGAAAACAATAACTACAGTCAATCGATATATATGTCATGACCTCTCAGTGTGAAACATGCGGCAAAAAAACCACATTTGCTCAGTAAAATGCAGAACCTTCCAGAGCATAATCTACCCAGCAGATAAAAACAACTTTATTGGAATAAGCAGCATTTTGGCATGAGGTAAAAGTCGTGTAGGCCTACCACCCCCTTTTAATGCTTTGATGGGCTCCTGACAGATCTGATTCTTGGCAAGGTTTTTTGTATATTTATCTTCTTTCATTTCCCAGATTCTGGACTTCCTGTATTGAATGGTTTGCATTTTTATTTTTGATGGCGTGACAGCGAAAATAGAATGAAAATGATTTTCCTGCTCCCTCTTCGTGCGCGCCCTTGTCATCCCCCCAGCCAAAAAGCCACTAACATGCGTGAATGTACTGATACAGTGGAATGGTAGTTCCTAACAAAGTGATAATTTTTTAAATGCATGTGGAACATTGAACGGAGGAAAGGCTTCACATCTAGAAAGGATAACCTGGCCTCGTTACCTGTTTTATACTTCAGAATAAATGTCGCGTGCGGTTTTTTGACTGCTCCAAAGTGATGTAGTCTTAATATTTAGCTGACGAAAAAAATTGCGACAGCCAGTAGTTCATGCTTTGTAGAGCAGAACAACAGTTCTAAGAAAACCAGGAGATTACGTCAAAATGTCAAACAATTCAATGGACTTTGTTTAATTGGTAAGGCATTACGAGGGATGGGTTCTTTGAAAATCCAATTCAAAACACCGCATGGCCAACAACAAGCTTTATAGAGTATTTCAAACTCAATCCCGGACTTTTCCATGGATATAAAGACCTTGCTGGACAATCTTCATGATGAAGTATCGTGTTCTGTGTGTATGTGTACATTCAATGATCCAAAACAGTTGCCTTGTTTGCACAGTTTCTGTCTTAACTGCCTGAACGGAATTCAACGAACGAGCGGCCTCCATGGCAAAATAACATGCCCCGAGTGCAGGAGACAGTTTCAAATACCTGGAAACGGAAATCCCAGCGAACTTCCCACCAATGTTCGTATCAACAGTTTGCTAGATGTCTTGTCAATTAAAAAGTGCAGTACAACTAACGTGAAATGCGGAAATTGCGACAAGCGCAGCGCCCAGACCTTATATTGTTTCCAGTGTTGTTCTTTCTGGTGCGAGGAATGTATTTTAGGACATAACATAATACGCACCAATAAAGAACACAAAACTCTTGCACCGAAGCATTTTCAGTATCAAGACTTCGAGGCTGTGTTAAAGCGACCAGCATTTTGCCAGAAGAAACACCATGAAAAAGAAGAACTGAAATTCTTTTGCAGTGGCTGTAAAGTCGCCATTTGTAACACTTGCGCTGTAACGCTTCATGAAGGTCATGGTAAAATACCCTTGCAAGAAGCTACAGATGCGCGCAAGATACAGATCAACTCCGTGATTTCTTCCTTGAAAGATAAAATGGTGGAAAAAAGAAAGGAAGTCAAAAAATTCCTACAAAAGAGCATGGAAGTGCAAGCACAAGTAGCCGACGTAAAAAGCCAAGTGCAGACGAACGTAAACAAAATGATTGCAATCATCGAAGCGAGGAAACAGGAGGTTTATGAAGCGGTGGATAATCAAGCGAAAAAATCACTTGAAACACTCTCTCAGAAAAACGGCGAAGTTGAAAATCACGTGAAAATGATTGAATCAGCAATTGAACAAACTGAATCTCTGATGAAACGAAACTTTAGTACAGAAATCCTTGGATTCAATGAAACATTTGATAAAATCCTACAGGAACAGGGAACGCAAGAAAACCGTGACACAGAGTGTCTTCCTCGGTTTCGTTTTACTAAAAGTGAAAAACTGATTAACGTGTTGAACAGTGAAGGTATAGGTAATGTAAAAACTGTTTTTAGCGCAACTAAATTGCAACAATCAGGTAAAGAAAGTAGTAAAGTAATTGCTAGGACTAAAGGGGTAAATGTTCGTGACAGTCCTCTTGAGGCTCAAGTACAAACCAAGCGTTACATTCCTGTGCTATCATTTGGACAAGGAGGTGAATCTGTTGGAATGCTTAACGAGCCTTGGGGGGTGGCAGTGAATGATCATGATGTAATTGTTGTGACTGAAATCTTGAACCACAGGGTTTCAGTCTTCCGTAGTGACGGTACCTACTTAAGATCGTTTGGTAAAAAAGGTCAGAATAAAGGTGAGTTTGCTGAACCTTCTGGGATCGCTTTTGATAGTCTTGGCAATATTGTAGTGACAGACTGTGAAAACCATAGGGTTCAAGTCTTTGATAGAAAAGGTAAGTTTCTTCGTACGTTTGGCCAAAATGGAATTCTTGATCACCAGCTTAAAAGACCTGAAGGATTATCAATAAACGGCAACGGTGATATTATTGTTACTGATAAAGGTAACAAACTAATCAAGATATTCTCTTCTAGTGGCGAGTATTTACGTAAATTTGGTGGATTAGGTTCTTTGGTCAATCCATATCACTGTATCCAACACGGTCAATATTTTATAGTCACAGACTATGGTGATGATTCCATTAAAATGTTTGATCTCGAGGGAAAGTTTATTTCTAAATTTGGAAAACGGGGAAACAAGGATGGAGAGTTCAATCAGCCCAGTTACTTGTCAGTTAACAAAGAAGGATTGTTAATGGTCTGTGATGAAAGTAATCACAGAGTTCAGGTTTTTGAACTGACGAGTGGAAAGTTTGTTACAAAGTTTGGAAGTGAAGGTAGTGGGAGAGGAGAGTTTATTTTTCCCGTTTCTACAGCAAGTCTTAGTGATGGTAGGATAGTTGTGAGTGATAGGAATAACTATCGAATCCAGATATTTGACCAAATATGATATGATCTTATTCTTAGAAATGCATTATTCCTTAAAAGTGTGATCTACTATTGATCTACAATTACTCATATTGTCGGAAGAAAAACATTTTTGACGTAGTTTAGTTTCTTGATCTACTTTGCCTAACACAGTAAAAACCCACGGCTAAAAATCTGGTTTTTAAGAACCTGTTAGGCTAAAATTTGACACTTACGCCGCCTCTATACAAGAACCTGTTATGCGTAAAATTTGAAACAGGTTCTTTGACTAAAATCTATAACAAAAGTTCTGAACACTTGGGCAAATAAGATAAGTCAACATTCAGGATTCTCTTGCGTTGGAGACATTGGGTGCCTTATTATAATTACTCGACATGCAATTGTAATGGTATTCACAGTCTTACCAAAGGAACAAGCCGAATACCACTAAATACTCTTAGCTATATTGTATTTTTTAGAAAATAACATCCTATTTAAAAACCTAAATAGTCTAAATTTGTGTTAATTACCATTTGTGTAAGAACCTGTTTAGGCTAACTAGGGTCGGAAAATGCAGGTTCTTCGGGCAGGTGTTTACTGTAGGATACATCGCTTGTTGTTGCTGTTTTCCCTTAGTTGACCTTACTCATATTATTATGTAAAAACCCAACTTGAAATTGCAGGTCAGTGGCCCGTTTCTCGAAAGTACCGAGAATGTTTCGGGCCTCAAAAGCTGTTTTATGCTTAATGTGTTTGCATTTAAGTTCAAAGTGTCAATAACTTTGAAGATGATACCATGAAAGTATCAGTTAACAAAGCAAAATTGACCGGTTTGTGAGCTCGGACTGAACTGTGCTGTTATAAATTCAACAGGTTTTGATTTCGGACCCAAAAGTTACCGGGCCTTTTGAGAAACGGGCCGCAAGTGTGTTCAATAGGTATGATGTATTTTACAGGAGGGTTATCATTTTTAATACATTTTAACTTGTTCAATAGCAAAACCAGCCTCTGGTTCACATTTTTGTACTAAACTGCTCAGACTGAAGAAGAGCAAAGTTGCAGGCTTTTTTACCTACTTTTCTAGTAATATTAAATGGTACAAAAGAGCGCAAAGTTTCTCCGATGCGTTTTAGTGTGTATTATTTTTTCCTCTACTTATTAAACAGAGGACCATGCAGTGTACTTGTTTTTGTAGTTTCTTGTATAATGTGTGCCAATATGTAGAACATTAGACCGCGAACAATAGCTTGATTTTTTCCAGAGAATCAGTAGGATACAAGCGACGAGGTGCAAGTCCTGAGACGCGAGAATCGAGTGAGATCAGTCGTCTCGGCCGATGTTTTCGCTTCTTGCCTGACGCTCGTGTGCTACCTGTGCCATCTCCTTAACTTTTGAAGAAAAGTTAGAAACTGCTGGCAATTTAATACATGACAAAAGATTTTCAAAAAGTGTAGTGATTCTGAATGATTCAAGTGAAAGTGAAAACTATATTCGGTCACCACAGCCATTGTCAAATGATATAATAACTATTTAAAAAAACTTTGTGTTAATCATAGTGTGATGGCTATTATGCTACCTATAAATGTGAAAATCTAAGCGTAATGATGTAATACATGTAAACATGTACTAAACTTCAATTCGCATTTTACGGCATTACTGGCAAACTTCACTATTGGTTCCGTTCATACTTACAGGGACGCAAGCAACAGGTTACGACAAGGGTCCCTACTAGGGCCGATATTGTTTCTGTTGTTTGTGGATGATCTACCAAACACTGTTAAGACATCGAGAGTTGCCTGTTATGCCGATGATACTAAGAATTTCAAGAGCATCGATTCCATCACAGACTGTTATGCCTTGCAATCTGATCGCAACGAGCTTGTCAGTTGGTCTGAATCATCTGGGCTCATATTCAATCAGTCCAAGTGTGAAAACCAGTGTATCACCCGCAAAAAATCACCTGTACAGCCCACCTAAATTATCAACGAGACGCCTTTGGAATCTTGCGATACAGAGAAAGACCTTGGTGTGTGGGTGTCAAGCAATCTTGTCTCGGACAAACAAGCCACTGAACAGTGTGCGAAAGCCACCAAACTCCTCGGCTTTGTTCGCCGAGCTTCTAGGTACATCCAAAGCACCCAAGTACGTCGTACACTTTATCTTTCTATCGTCCGGTGCCATCTCGGCTATGCAACCCAAGTATGGTCGCCAGAGTCCATTAGCTTACTAAAGCGAGTTGAAAACGTGCAGCTCCGTGCAACAAAACTAATTTTGAAGCTTCTCTTCCGTTGCGATGTAACCTATAAGACCCGCCTCCAAGTAATAAATCTGTTACCTATCTCATACTGGCATGAATTTTTGGATATAGTCTTTTTCTATAAAGCTGTTGATAACTTAGTTCTCATAGATAGTGAAGCTCTGCCTGCAACTAGACAATCAACGAGATCTACCAGGTCATCGAGCACCAATGCTATTACTTATATCCCTAAGCGAAGTAGAACTGTTACTTATCAACGCTCATTTTTCATACGCGCGTGCCGCACATGGAATGTTCTGCCTGTTGAGTTACGCGCAAGTCACATCTCTCTAGCCTCATTTAAGCGTTCACTATTTCAATATTACAATAACGCGCTGGACCTGTACGACGTTGACGACATCAGAACCTGGAGAACAATCTGTCCCAAGTGCAACATAGCGAGGACTCTCCTGTGTCCGTCGACGCGCTGCATCTAGCAATTTGAACTTCTGTTTTGTTCCCTTTTGATTTTTATTGTTTATATATCAGTAGCTTTAGCTATTAATTTTTTTTTCAACGATTTTTTTTAATTCACGAGGCATCCACTGTAATTGGTTAGGCTGTAGTGGTCTCCCTGCCTAATAATTTTTATGTATTTATGTATAAATGTTGTAGTCTAGTTAGCCGAAGCTAAATAAATAAATAAATAAAAAAGCCCTTTTTAACCGAATCACGCTGATTCTTCAAGTTATCTTGTAACATTTCAAATGATTTAATGCTACAAGGGGCGTGGCCTGCCAGCAGCTTCTCTAGTAAGGGACTCAACGGCATAACCTCAAGAGTTTTGCACAATCGGCAAAGACCAAAATATTAATCCTGGGGGTATAAATCCCCGATTAAAAAGCCAAAGGGAAATCTTGTACAAAATTTAAAACGAAGAGACTGCTGGCGCTGGCTTTAAGGGGCGTTGTTCAGTACTAATGCTGCTAAGGGTGGAGGGGCTGATGTGTGAATTAACCTGCGATCAGGCGGTCCTTCTTCCTTTTTTGTTTCAGAGACGAGGGAAAAAGGACGCCCTTCTTTTTTCCCCTTTCCCCGAAAAAAAGCGTGATCGCGCGTTAGGTGTGAATGGGTTAAAGAAGAATCGAAAGGGAAGAGGACTTGATCGCAGTCTATACTAAAATACGTCGGCCTGCACTTCGAAATAACAGACCGTCGCGCTTTGTTACAAAACAAGCTGGAAAGTTTTTTTGGAATATGTAGTTAAGTCCGAGGAATAAGATGATGTCTTCCAAATCTTCAAAGGTAAAGTCATCGGCCTCCTTGAGGACATATGTGTCTATAGGATGGATGCTCTGTCTGTTAATTATATTCTTCTGTAGAAGAATCATTTGAGTTCTTCTGGAGCTCACAAATAAGCACAAAACTTCACCAAAATTGACCAGGAGAAACATAAAATCAAACAAATTTGCATTTTAAACCCCAAGTCTAACCAGATTAATTATGTAAACGTTGATTTACGTCATCAGCATGGAATTTACGTCACTGAGACGCAGACGTTCCTCCTGGCAAAACGTCCTGAGCGGCGAGGAATGAAGAGAAACGGCTGTTTTCGCAGGCTAGCCTGTCCCGTCTGCCTGTCTGTCTATCTGCCTATCTATCTCTCTGACTAGGACCAAGGATTAACACAGTCGGTCAGGAACCCGGGCTGTTCCATTCCCAGGTGTGACCTACTCGATACTTTTTTCGGCTTCTGTCCTTTCCGTGGAGCATAAAGTAGCTTTTACTACCCATGCGAAAAAGAAGCACCTGATGGAGGAGGGTGGTAAAATGAGCGCACGGCTCGCGCGGCCTCAGGTTAGTCAGTTTATTGTTTATGTGCTATTTAACAATTATTCTTTGAAATCAAGGTGAAAAGTGGCTAAATATTTCCCGAGCCGCGAAAGCGGTGAGGTAAATATTCCCAAAGCCACTATTCACCGAGATTGAAAAGAACAATTGTTTTAGTATATACACACGAAGTGATCTCAACAAAATCAGAGAGGAAACCATTAAAAAGTACGATTTGATTGACAGATCAATAAAATAGATCTTTGCAGAATTTTCAAACATGGCAATTCACAAGTTTATCATTTCGCAAACAACAGCGTAATGGCTTAAATGGAACCGCTAAAAGTTTGAATTGTTTCCTTACCTGAGAAGAAAAGCAGAGCTTTGTAGTTTTCTGTTGACTCGCCAAGTTTATAGCCAAAAGGGTTTGTTGTGTCGTTCTTCGCATGAAGTGCTGACAAAAATAGCGGCTCGGTTGCTCGAGGTAAGACGTGGTCTTCCTGTATCATTCTTTTTCCTGTTTACTTAAAACGTAGAATTTCTGCAAGCATTTCCTTTTAAATTTGTTTGTCATAAATAACCTTCGATTTTTGAGCCAAAATTTTCTTGTTAGAAAACGCTGAGTTCACGAAACGGCTTCTTCTACGCGAATACACGGGAGTTGTAAACAATCCATTGAGCACAAAACTCAGCTACAGCTGAAAAACGCCGTATTGAATCCGTCCAAGTCTTTTCTTTCCTTAAAAAAAAGTCAGCCCTAGGATTTTATCGACTTTTAAAAGATCGTTCTCTAAAAAAAGTGGGAAAAACACGAGCTGACACATTATTCACTCGCTAGGAGGTGAATATTGTTGAATAGTCCGAAATAGCGAACCAATCAGATTGCTTAAAGCACCAAGATCGCTGAGTGTGTATATACTAATACGAGTTACCGACCTTTCACAAACTGATTGGGTCTTCATCCATCCGTTCGTCCGTCAATAGGGAGCTTATTAAACAAGCAACAACGAGGCGACGGCTACGAAAAAGTCACTTAAAAAGTGAAGTCGCGCTGCTTCAAACCTTATCGCGCTTATTGTATCTCTTTCAGTTCGTCAAATGTTGGCAGTTTTTTCTAGAGTTGAATTCTAAAAGACTGTATTGAAGGTCAGGAAAAGAGAGAGAAAGTTGCTGCCTTGTGTTCACATTCTCCACAGTGAATGTGAAATTAGATATTTTCACGTCGTAGTCGCGCAGTGACGGCAAAGAAATATACGTGATGCACGTGCAGAGTTGTTATTTTGCCAATCTAAACCTTTAACTCTTTTTTGCCGTTCTCATTGACGTCGCCGTCGTCGTTGCTTTAGCTCCCTAATCCGGTGTCTGTGTGCCCCTCTGTATATTAATTTGCCCCAACCTCTCCTCCTTCTCCCCCCCCCCCCCTTTTTTTCCCTCCATCATCTCCTATCTTTATTTTTTTTTACGCATTTCTAACGATTAGACTTACTTCCGCGAATAGTATAGTATATTTTTTGTTTTTGTCTCACGCCCCCCGCGCTCTCCCTCCCCCCCCCCCCCCCCTCCCCGCTCTTTTCGCAAACTCCTGTTGATACACTTTGTTACTGACTCTAGAAGTAAAGGCTAGAGCAACTGACTGCAGATGTATAATATTACTTTTTTCCCTCCGCCAACGCCTACCAAGCCGCAGGTACTGATTCATCCACTAGAACCAATTGATGATCCCGACTAAGCCTTTAAAATAGTCCTTAAATATCAAGTGCCCGAGGCCGTGAAATACTGGTCCTTATTATTTAAACATCAATCAAATACCAGGTGAGCATTCGCGCGAAAACATGACTTATGTGGGTTAACAACATTAACGTTGCCTATTTTTGGAGATTTTGCTATCTCAACATTCCTGGTCTCAAGACAAATATTAAATTCATCTTTATGAGTTCCTCAAGCGATAAATTCACGCATTAGTAGCACAACTCATAAACAGATGTTTGTGTTAGCTTCCGGCCGCCATATTTGTGTCACTCAAAGGGACACCAACACCGCGTCTCGATACAAAGCTTTACAAATTTGGGTAAAATTTTTTCCGAATATCTCGCACATGAAATAACACACAGACCTGATTCCGGGCGAGGATTTTTGTATTTATCTTCTTTCATTTCCTAGATTCTGGACTTCCTCTATTGAATAGTTTGCATTTTTATTTTTGATGGTCAGTGTCCGGGATCGATCCCTGACGCTGACCAAAAGGATAGAAGGTCTGGGAACGACAATGAACAGTTGTAAGAAAAACAGGATATTACGTCAAAATGTCAAACAATGCAAGAGATTCTGTTTAATTAAGGTGTCAGGAGGCATTATGTAGGTTGGATAATATCTCCAACAACAAGCTTTATAGAGTATTTCAAACTCACTTCCGAACATTTCCATGGATATAAAGACCTTGCTGGACAATCTTCATGATGAAGTATCCTGTTCTGTGTGTTTGTGTACATTCACTGATCCAAAGCAGTTGCCTTGTTTGCACAGTTTCTGTCTTCACTGCCTGAACGGAATTCAACGAACGAGCGGCCTCCAAGGCAAAATTACATGCCCTGAGTGTAAAAGACAGTTTGAGATCCCTGGAAGTGGAAATCCCAGCGAACTTCCCACCAATGTTCGTATCAACAGTTTGCTAGATGTCTTGTCAATTAAAGAGTGCAGTACAGCTAACGTGAAATGCGGAAATTGCGACAAGCGGAGTGCCCAGACCTTATATTGCTTCCAGTGTTGTTCTTTCTGGTGCAAGCAATGTATTTTAGGACATAACATAATACGCACTAATAAAGAACACAAAACGCTGCTACTGAAGGATTTTCAAGATCAAGACTTCGCGGCTGCGTTAAAGCGACCAGCAATTTGTCAGAAGAAACATCATGAAAAAGAAGAACTGAAGTTCTTTTGTAGGGGCTGTAAAGTCGCTATTTGCAACACTTGCGCTGTAACGCTTCATGAAGGTCATGGGAAGATGCCCTTGCAAGAAGCTGCAGATGCGTGCAAGATACATATCAACTCCATGATTTCTTCCTTGAAAGATAAAATGGTGGAAAAGAGAAAGGAAGTCGAACAACTCAATCAAAGGAGCATGGAAGTTCAAGCGCAAGTAGCCGACGTAAAACGCCAAGTTCAGACGAATGTAGACCAAATGATTGCAATCATTGAAGCGAGGAAACAGGATGTTTTCAACGCGGTCGAATATCAAGCGAAAAAATCACTTGAATCACTTTCACAGAAAAAAGGCGAAGTTGAAAATCAAGAGAAAATAATTGAATCAGCAATTGGACGAACTGAATTTCTGATGAAGCGAAATTTTAGTACAGAAATTCTTGGATTCAATGAAACATTTGATAAAATCCTACAGGAACAACACACCCAAGGAAACCGTGACACTGAATGTACTCCACGGTTTAGTTTCACTAAAAGTGAAAAACTGATTAACGTGTTGAACAGTGAAGGTATAGGTAATGTAAAAATTGTTTTTAGCGAATCTAAAGCGCAAAAATTAGGGGTTAAACGCACGGCAAGCAGTGAAGCAATTACTGGGAATAAAAGGCCAAATGTTCGTGACAGTCCGCTTGAGGTTCAGGTACAGACTAGGCGTTACATTCCTGTGCTATCATTTGGACGAGAAGGTAAGTCTGTTGGAATGCTTAAAGGGCCCTGGGGGGTGGCAGTGAATGACCATGATGAAATTGCTGTGGCTGAACTCCTCAACCACAGGGTTTCAGTGTTTAGTAGTGACGGTACCCACTTAAGATCGTTTGGTTGCGAGGGTCAGAATAATGGTGAGTTTAATCAACCTTCAGGGATCGCTTTTGACAGTCTTGGTAACATTGTAGTGACAGACTGTAAAAACCACAGGGTGCAAGTCTTTGATAGAAATGGAAAGTTTCTCCATAGGTTTGGTGAACATGGAAGTCTTGATCACCAGCTTTTAAACCCTGCAGGTTTATCAATAAACGGCAACTGTGATATTATTGTTACTGATGTCCATAACCAATTAATCAAGATATTCTCTTCTAGTGGCGAGTATTTATGTAAATTTGGTGGAGCAGGTTTTTTGGTCGAACCCTATCACTGTATCCAACACGGTCAATATTTTATAGTCTCAGACTATGGTGACGATTCCATTAAAATGTTTGATCTTGAAGGAAAGTTTATTTCTTAATTTGGAAAACGTGGGGAGAGGGATGGACAGTTCAATAAACCCCGTTATTTGTCAGTTGACAAAGAAGGATTGCTAATGGTCTGTGATTCATACAATCACAGAAGTCAGGTATTTGAACTGAGTGGAAGGTTTGTTACAAAGTTTAGAAGTGAAGGTAGCGAGAGAGGAGAGTTTAAGTATCCAGTTTCTACAGCAAGTCTTAGTGATGGGCGGATAGTTGTGAGCGATAAGGATAACCATCGAATCCAGATATTTGACCAAATATGATATGATTTTATCCTTAGAAATGCAGCTACTTAAAATTGTGATCTACTGTTAATCGATCTACAATTACTCATGTGTTCGGAAGAAAAACATTTTGGACGTAGTTTAGTTTCTTAAGGAACAAGCTGAATACCACTGAAATACTACTTTTCAGCTATGATATATTTTTAGTTTTTCTTCAGAAAATAACATCCTATTTAAGAACCTAAATAGCCTAAATTTGTGCTAATTACCATTTGTGTAACAACCTGTTGTTGGGCCAGAAAATGCAGGTTCTTCGGGTAGGTGTTTACTGTAGGAGAATCTCTTGTTGTTGCTGTTTTTCCTTAGCTGACGTAAAAACTTAACTTGAAATTGGGGGTCAGTGGCGCACCGTTTCTCGAAAGTCCCGAGAATGTTTCGGGCCTTAAAAGCTGTTTTATGTCAATAACTTTGAAGATGATACAATGAAAGTATCAGTTAATAAAGTAAAATTGACCGGTTTGTGAGCTCGGACTGAACAATGCTGCTATAAATTCAACAGGTTTTGATTTCAAATTGTTTTCGGACCCAAAAGTTACCGGCCGTTCGAGAAACAGGCCTCAAGAGAGTTCAATTGGTAGATATATTTTACAGGAGAATTTTCATTTTAAATGCATTTTAACTTGTTCAATAGCAAAACCAGCCTGTGGTTCACATTTCTGTACCAAACTGCTCAGACAGAAGTAGTTCAATTTCAGGCTTTTTTACTTAGTATACTTTTCTAGTAATATTAATTAAATGGTAGACTTGACACTCTCAAAAAGAGCACAAAGTTTCTCCGAAAGGCGCTTTAGTATGTATCATTTTTTCATCTACTTATTAACAATGGACCAGTGTATTTGTTTTTGTAGTTTCTTGTATAATGTGTGCCAATATGTACGAACAATCGCTTAATTTTCTTTAGAGAATCAGTAGGATGCAAGCGGCGAGTTGCAAGTCGTGAGACGCGAGAATCGAGTGAAATCAGTCTTCGTGGCCGATGTTTTCGCTTCTTCCCTAACGTTCGTGTGCTGCTTGGGCCATCTCCTTAACTTTTGAAGAAAAGTAATTAACTGCTGGCAATTTAATACACGACAAAGGAATTTTAAAAAGTGTAGGTTCTTAATATTTCGAGTTAATGTGAAAATTATAAGCCACCACAGCAATTGACAAATGATATAAGAACCATTAAAAAAAACCTTGTATTAGTCGTAGTGTGATGGCTATTATGCTATGAACGTGAAAATCTAAGCGTGATGATGTAATACATGTCACTTTGTAATAACCTTCAATTCGCATTTTAAAATTTGCTTGGTTTGTCTCACTGATACATTTTTACCCTACTGTTTATTATAACTTACCCTTACAAATTTCAGAGATTTTGGAAAAACTAAAACAAAAAATTCGTTGTACTTTCTTAAAAAAGAAAGTACACGGCTAGATACAGCGATAAAATTTTCATTCAAAAATTCCCAGTGTCAAATTACGTGACCAGTTCGGCGTGTATCCAAGCCCTTTTTAACCGAATCACGTCGATTCTTTAAGTTCTCTTCAGTCTGAGTTCTCTTTTAACATTTCAAATGAGTTAATGCTACGCGGGGCGTGGCCTGCTGGCAGCTTCTCTGGTAAGGGACTCAACGGTATAACTTCGAGAGTTTTGACAATCGGCAAAGACCAAAATATTAATCCTTAGGGTGTTAATCCTCGGTTAAAAAGCCAAAGGGAAATCCGTTGCAAAATCTTAAAACGAAGTGTCTGCTGGCGCGGGCATTAAGGGGCGTTGTTCAATGCTAATGCTACTAAGAGTGGAGTGGGTGAGGTGTGAATTAACCTGCGATCAGGTGGTCCTTCTTCCTTTTATGTTTTAGAGGCGAGAGGAAAAGGACGCCGTTCTATTTTCCCCTTTCAACGAAAAAAAGCCTGATCGCGGATTAGGTGTGAATGGGTTTAAGAAGAAACGAAGGAAAGAGGACTTCATCGCAGTCTATACCAGAATACCTCGGCCCGCACTTCGAAATAACAGACCGTCGAGCTTTGTTATTTAAAAAAGCTGGATTATTTTTTGTGGATATGTAGTTAAGTCCGAGGAATAAAATGATGTCTTCCAGATCTTCAAGGGTAAAGTCATCTGCCTCCTTGTGGACATATGTGTCTTTAGGATGGATGCTCTGTCTGTTAATTTGAATAAATAAATAGCCATTTGAATATTTAACAATTATTCCTCGAGCCCGAATAGGCTATTGACTCAGAGGCCATGACGGCGAGAGAAATAATTGTTTTAGTAAATCCAACTAGTTGGTCAAAAATATAAAGAATAAATTCTAGCTAGTTAAAGCTAGACTTTAATCCTTTTTTGCTGCGAAAAAGCCGGCGCTTTTCGCTATTAGTGGGCTATAACATATACCCTAGTAGTAGCTCAACCAATCAGAATGCAGCATTGATAATAGACCACTTGTTGGATTTTACTAGAAGAATATATTCTTCTCTAGAACAAGCATTTGAGTTCTGCTGGAGCTCGTTCGCAAATAAACACAAAACTTTACCAAAATCGACCAGGAGAAACATAAAATCGAACAAATTTGCATTCTAAACCCCAAGTCTACCAGATTAAATATGTAAACATTGATTTATAATTACGTCATCAGTATGGAGTTTATGTCACTGAGACGGAGACGTTCCTCCTGGCAAAACGTCCTGAGCAGCGAGGAACGAAGGGAAAGGGCTGTTTTCGCAGGCTAGCCTGTCAGCCTGTCCTGTCTGCCTGTCTGTCTATCTACCTATCTATTTCTCTGACTAGGACCAAGGAATAACACAGTCAGTCAGGAGCCCGGGCTGTTTGATTCCCAGGTGTGACCTACTCGATACTTTTGTCGGCTTCTTTCCTTTCCGTGGAGTTAAAGTAGCTTTTAATACCCGTCTGAAAAAGAAGCACCTGATGGAGGAGGGTGGTAAAATGAGCGCACAGCTCGCGCGACCTCAGGTTAGTCAGTCTTTTGCGTATGTGCTATTAAGTGTTAACAGCCTTTCACAAACTGAGTGGGTTTTCATCTATCCGTTCTTCCGTCAATAGGGAGGTTAAGAAACAACAAGGTGACAGGTACGAAAATGTCACTTAAAAAGTAACGTTGCGCTGCTTCAAACCTTATGGCGCTTATTCTATCTCTTTCAGTTCGTCAAATGTTGACAGTTTTTTCTGGAGTTGAATTCTATTTCAGGAAAAGAAAGCAAACTCGTTGTCTTGTGTTCACATTCTCAACAAAACGTGAAATTAGGCATTTTCACGTCGTAGTCGTGCAGTGACGGCAAAGAAATGTACGTGATGTACGTGCAGAGTTGTTGTTTTGCCGATCTAAACCTTTAAGTCTCTTTTACCGTTCTCGTTGACGCCGTCGTCGTCGTTGCTTTAGCTACCTAATCCTGTTTTTTGTGTGCCCCTCTGTATATCAATTTGCCCCACCCTCCCCCCTCCCCTTTTCGCAAACTCCTCTCGATACACTTTGTTACTGACTCTAGAGGTGAGAGCTTAAACAACTGACTGCAAATGAATATTACAAAATTCACCTGAACTAGCTCTGGTATAGGTTAAGGGTTCCAGGGTCCCAGCGGCACATCCACACCCCTGAATTCCTAAAGTACCCCCCCCCCCCCCCCCCCCGCGGGAAAAACCTTTTTTTGGGAAAAAAAAAATCCATTTTTTTAAAGGTTTTTTTTAAAAAAAATCTTTTTTCTTAAAAAAAATATTTTTTATTTTTTTTTTTTTTCCTACAAAAAAATATATAAAAAAAAAGAAGAAAAAAAAAAAAAAAACTTTTTTTTGTTTTTTTTGGGCGGGCGTTGTGGGCCTACACTTTTTTAATTACTCAAAAGGTGAGAGCTTAAAAAACTGACTTCAAATTAATATTACAAAATTCACCCGAAACACCTCTTGTATAGGTTTATGGTTCCAGGGTCCCAGCGGCCCATCCACCCCCCTGAATTCCTAAACTCCCCCCCCCCCCCCCTGCCGGACGGAAAGCTCTTATATGGGTTAAAAACGTTACCTAGTTTAAGAGAGTTTACTATCTAAACATTCCTTGTCTCAGAATAAATATTTTTATAATATTTATGAGTTCCTCAAACGATGAATTCACGCATAAGTAGGAAAATTAAAAAAACCGATGTTTGTGTTGGTTTCCGGCGGCCGTATTGGTGCGCCTCAAAGGGACATTTTATTTCATTTTCAATAGCAATCAATTGTTTTTAATTAAAATGAGCTTTTTTTGATTGTAATGAACCTCAACATAGCATCTCCATACAATGCTTTATTAATTTGGGTAAAACATTTTTCCGAATATCTCGCATATGAAATATAGCACAGGTCTTATTCTTGGCGAGGTTTTTTGTATATTTATCTTCTTTCATTTCCTAGATTCTGGACTTCCTGTATTGAATGGTTTGCATTTTTATTTTCGATGGCGTGACAGTGACAATAGAATGAAAATGATTTTCCTGCTCCCTCTTCGTGCGCGCCCTTGTCATCGGGTGAGGACAAAACATGGACCAGGGGTCCATGGACCCTCACTTTGGACCGGCTCCATGGACCACTTTCATGGACCGGGTCCATGGACCCCCTGTCATGGACCAGGTCCATGGACAGTTTTTTTTTAATAATGAGAAATGAACAAAAACAGAAATAGTGCAATCATAAGGTTGAAAAACAACAACAACAACAAACAATGCTTGATTGATCAGTAATGTTTAATTGTGCTTACATAGTGTAAAAAAATGGGGGGTCAGTACCTCATGCCAAAATGCTGCTTGTTCCAGTGAATTGTTTTCTCTGATGGGTAGATTATGCTTCGGAGGAAAACCTTTTTACTGAGCAAATGTGAATTTTTGCCGCTTATTTCATACTGAGAGGTCGTGACACACATACTTATTTTCTACCTCTTTTAAAATGTAAAGCTGTTCATTGCGGCTGATTAAAAGGGTTTTAGGTTGTTTAATTTCTCCAAAGTGCGTCCTGAGTCTGAATAATTCTAAGCCAATTTCTTTTTGTGCATGAATGTCACTTTTTCCTGCAATGTTTTGTCACGCTGGGCCCAGCTCCTTAGCGCTTTTAGCAGGGCGATTATAAATTCTCACAGATAGTGATTTACAGATCCAGACCTCGAAGAAGAAGTGGCATGGATTGTAGCTTAAACTGAAGCTACATCAACTATGGAGAATTGCGATGTGAGTCAGTCATGATTGCTCTAAAAGCAATGAATTCTTAACTCCAACTTTTTTTTCTAAGGGTGATGCGAGTCTTTGTTATGGAGTGCGTAATTCCTCTCTTGGTGATAAATTTTGAATTAGCTTAATTTAACAGTCTTGTGACTGCACATGTGCAAGCAGAGTGTACGTCATGTAAGCACAACTAAATATTTGTGATCAATCGTGAGCATTGGTCGACAGCGTCTCGTCAAATATTTCTGTTTTTGAGTGTCCATGGACCTGGGCAAAACCTTCCTATAAAAAGAAAAAAACTGTCCATGGACCTGGTCCATGACAGGGGGTCCATGGACCCGGTCCATGAAAGTGGTCCATGGACCTGGTCCAAAGAGGGGGTCCATGGACCCCTGGTCCATGTTTTGTCCTCACCCCTTGTCATCCCCCCAGCCAAAAAGCTACTGACATGCGTGAATGTACTGGTACAGTGGAATGGTAGTTCCTAACAAAGTGATAATTTTTTAAATACATGTGGAGACATTGAACTGAGGAGAGGCTTCACATCTAGAAAGGATAACCTCGCCTCGTTACCTGTTTTATACTTCAGAATGAATGTCGCGTGCGGGTTTTTGACTGCTTTAAAGTGATGTAGTCTTAGTATTTAGCTGCCGAAAAAAATTGTGACAGACAATAGTTCATGCTTTGTAGAGCAGAACAACAGTTCTAAGAAAACCAGGCTATTACGTCAAAACGTCAAACTATTCAATGGACTCTGTTTAATTGGTAAGGCATTACGTGGGATGGGTTCTTTGAAAATCCGATTCAAAACACCGAATGGCCAACAACAAGCTTTATAGAGTATTTAAACACACTCCCGACCCTTTCCATGGATATACAGACCTTGCTGGACAATCGTCATGATGAAGTATCCTGTTCTGTGTGTATGTGTACATTCACTGATCCAAAGCAGTTGCCTTGTTTGCACAGTTTCTGTCTTAACTGCCTAAACGGAATTCAACGAACGAGCGGCCTCCATGGCAAAATTACATGCCCCGAGTGCAGGAGACAGTTTCAAATACCTGGAAACGGAAATCCCAGCGAACTTCCCACCAATGTTCGTATCAACAGTTTGCTAGATGTCTTGGCAATTAAAGAGTGCAGCACAGCTAACGTGAAATGCGAAAATTGCGACAAGCGCAGCGCCCAGACCTTATATTGTTTCCAGTGTTGTTCTTTCTGGTGCGAGGAATGTATTTTGGGACATAACATAATACGCACCAATAAAGAACACAAAACTCTTGCACTGAAGCATTTTCAGGATCAAGACTTCGAGGCTGTGTTAAAGCGACCAGCATTTTGCCAGAAGAAACACCATGAAAATGAAGAACTGAAATTCTTTTGCAATGGCTGTAAAGTCGCCATTTGTAACACTTGCGCTGTAACGCTTCATGAAGGTCATGGTAAGATGCCCTTGCAAGAAGCTACAGATGCGCGCAAGATACAGATCAACTCCATGATTTCTTCCTTGAAAGACAAAATGGTGGAAAAAAGAAAGGAAGTCGAACAATTCAACCAAAAGAGCATGGAAGTGCAAGCACAAGTAGCCGACGTAAAAAGCCAAGTGCAGACGAATGTAGACCAAATGATTGCAATCATTGAAGCGAGGAAACAGAATGTTTTTGATGCGGTCGATTATGAAGCGAAAATATCACTTCAATCACTTTCACAGAAAAAAGACGAAGTTGAAAATCAAGTGAAAATAATTGAATCAGCAATTGAACAAGCTGAATCTTTGATGAAACGAAACTTTAGTACAGAAATTCTTGGATTCAGTGAAACATTTGATGCAATCCTACAGGTACAGGGGACCCAAGGAAACCGTGACACTGAATTTATTCCTCGGTTTAGTTTCACTAAAAGTGAAAAACTGATTAACGTGTTGAACAGTGAAGGTATAGGTAATGTAAAAACCGTTTTTAGCGAATCTAAAGTGCAACAATCAGGGGTTAAACGCACGGCAAGCAGTGAGGCAATTGCTGGGAATAAAAGGACAAATGTTCGTGACAGTCCTCTTGAGGCTCAGGTACAGACTAAGCGTTACATTCCTGTTCTGTCATTTGGACGAGAAGGTGAGTCTGTTGGAATGCTTAAAGATCCCTGGGGGGTGGCAGTGAATGACCATGATGAAATTGCTGTGACTGAGCTCAATAACGAAAGAGTTTCAGTGTTTAGTAGCGACGGTACCCACTTAAGATCGTTTGGTAAAAGAGGTGAGAATAATGGTGAGTTAAATGCACCTTCAGGGATCGCTTTTGATAGTCTTGGCAATATTGTAGTGACAGACTGTAATAACCACAGGGTGCAAGTTTTTGATACAAATGGTAAGTTTCTTCGTAAGTTTGGTGAATATGGACTTCTTGATCACCAGCTTAACTACCCTGAAGGTTTATCAATAAACGGCAACGGTGATATTATTGTTGCTGATAAAGGTAACAAATTGATCAAGATCTTCTCTTCTAGTGGGGAGTATATACGAAAATTTGGTGGAACAGGTTCTTTGGTCAAACCCTATCACTGTATCCAACACGGTCAGTATTTTATAGTCTCAGACTATGGTGATCAATCTATCAAAATGTTTGATATCGAAGGAAATATTATTTCTAAATTTGGAAAACAGGGGGAAAAGGATAGAAAGTTCATTAAGCCCAGTTATTTGTTAGTTAACAAACAAGGATTGCTAATGGTCTGTGATTCAGGAAATCACAGAGTTCAGGTATTTGAACTGAGAGGAAAATTTGTTACAAAATTTGGAAGTAAAGGTAGCGAGAGAGGAGAGTTTAATTTTCCTCCTTCTATAGCAAGTCTTACTGATGGGAGGATAGTTGTGAGTGATACGAATAACCATCGAATCCAGATATTTGACCAAATATGATATGATCTTATTCTTAAAAATGCAATTACTTAAAAGTGTGATCTACTATTGATCTACAATTACTCGTGTTTGCGGAAAAAAAAACATTTTTGACGTAGTTTAGTTTCTTGATCTTTCATACATAATACAGCAAAATCCCGCGACTAAAGATGTGATTTTTAAGAACCTGTTAGGCTAAAATCTGACAGTTAGGGCCACCTTAATACAAGAACCTGTTAAGCCTCAAGTTTGAAGCAGGTTCTTTCGCTAAAATCTATAAACATAACTGAATTCTGAACACTTGGGCAAATAAGATAAGTCATCATTAAGGATCCTCGTTGAAGACATTAGGTGCTCCAAATGCAATTGTAATGGTATTACAGTCTTACCAAAGGAACAAGCCGAATACCACTAAATACTCTTTTTAGCTATATAATGTCTTTTTAGTTTTTCTTCAGAAAATAACATCCTATTTAAGAACCTAAATAGCCTAAATTTGTGCTAATTACCATTTATGTAAGAACCTGTTTAGGCTAACTTGGGCTAGAAAATGCAAGTTCTTCGGGCAGGTGTTTACTGTAGGAGAATCTCTTGTTGTTGCTGTTTTCCCTCAACTGACCTTACTAATATTATAATGTAAAAACTTAACTTGAAATTGAGGGTCAGTGGCGCGCGGTTTCTCGAAAGTCCGGAGAATGTTTTGGGCCTTAAAAGCTGTTTTATGCTTGCAGTGTTTGCATTTAAGATCAAAGTGTCAATAACTTTGAAGATGATCGGCAATGAAAGTATCAGTTAACAAAGTAAAATTGTGAGCTCGGACTGAACTGTGCTGCTACAAATTCAACAGGTTTTGATTTCAAATTTTTTTCGGACACAAAAGTTACCGGGCCTTTCGAGAAACGGGCAGCAAGAGTGTTCAATTGGTTAGCCTAAGTATCAGGCCTTCGCTTCCATCTTTCCCCTTTTCCCCCAGAAACGTCTGATACTCAGGCTATCAATTGGTAAATATATTTTACAGGAGGGTTTTCATTTTAAATGCATTTTAACTTGTTCAATAGCAAAACCAGCCTGTGGTTCACATTTTTGTACTTAACTACTTACACAGAAGTAGACCAGTTTCAGGCTTTTTTAGTTATTTTTCTAGTAATATTAAATGGTACTTGATACTCTCAATAGCGCACAACGTTTCTCCGATGCGTTTTAGTGTATATCACTTTTTCATCTACTTATTAAACAATGGACCAGTGTATTTGTTTTTGTGGTTTCTTGTGTAATGTGTGCCAATATGTAGAACAATAGACCGCGAAAAATCGCTTAATTTTCTTCAGAGAATCAGCAGGATACAAGAGGCGAATTGCAAGTCGTGAGACGAGAGAATCGAGTGAGATCAGTCTTCTCGGCCGATGTTTTCGCTTCTTACCTGACGCTCGTGTGCCATATGTGCCATCTCCTTAACGTTTGAAGAAAAGTAATAAACTGCTGGCAATTTAATACATGACAGTAGATTTTTAAAAAGTGTAGATTCTTAATGTTTCGAGTTAATGTGAAAATTATAAGCCACCCCAGCAATTGTCAAATGATATAAGAACCATTGAAAAAACCTTGTATTAGTCGTAGTGTGATGGCTATTATGCTATAAATGTGAAAATCTAAGCGTGATGATGTAATACATTTAAATTTGTAATAAACTTTAATTAGCATTTTAAAATTTGCTTGGTTTGTCTCACTGATAAATTTTTATCCTTACTTGCCCTTACAGATTTTGCAAAAACAAAAACAAAAAATTCGTTGTGAAGAACGGTACAGCTTGATAGGACGATAAAATTTTCATTCAAAAATTCCCTGTCAAAATTACGTGACCAGTTTGGCATGTATCTAAGCCCTTTTTAACCGTATCATGTTGATTCTTCAAGTTCTTCGAGAAATGTTACAAGTTGTAACATTCAGTCAAATACGTTAATCCCACAAGGGGCATGACCTGCCAGCAGCTTCTCTGGTAAGGGAGCCAACGGCATAACTTCCAGATTTTTACACTATCGGCAAACATGTAATCATAGAAAAACGTTTCCGTTAGATTTAACCCTTCAAGGAAGAGGAAGAGTTCGATAACACTTCTCTTCTTTAACTTTAGTTTTCCCCTCAGTCAATTCCGGTGTGTGGCATGGGTCAAATGGAAAAAAAGCTATTGTTTTTCCGCGGCATTGCCATTTCTTTAATCGGCAAATACAAGCCTTCATTATTTCAAAACGTAGTTTGTTCGCGATCTTTTGCCATGGATATAAAGACCTTACTGGACAATCTTCATGATGAGGTATCCTGTTCTGTGTGTATGTGCACGTTTACTGATCCAAAGCAGTTGCCTTGTTTTCACAGTTATTGCCTACAATGCCTGAGCGATATTCAGCGATCGAGCGGCGTTCAAGGTAAAATTACATGTCCGAGTGTAGGAGATAGTTTCAAATCCCTGGAAACGGAAATCCCAGCGAACTTCCCACCAATTTTCGTATCAACAGTTTGCTAGATGTGTTGACAATTAAAGAGTATAGTACATCTAACGTGAAATGTGGAAACTGCGACAAGCGGAGCGCCCAGACCTTATATTGCTTCCAGTGCTCTTCTTTCTGGTGCGAAGAATGTATTTTGGGACATAACATAATACGCACCAATAAAGAACACAAAACGCTGGCACTGAAAGATTTTCAAGAACAAGACATCGAGGCCGTGTTACAGCGACCAGCATTTTGCCAGAAGAAACACCATGAGAAAGAAGAGCTCAAGATATTTTGCAAAAATTGTCAAGTCGCCATTTGCAACACTTGTGCTGTAACACTTCATGAACGTCATAACAAAATGCTCTTACAAGAAGCCACCGATGCCCACAAGTTGCATATCAACTCCTTGATTGAATCCTTAAAAGAAAAAGCACAGCAAAAACGAAAGGATGTCGAATAATGCAGCCAAGATAGCATGGAAGTGCAAATGCAAATGGCCGAAGTAAAAAGTCAAGTGGCCATGAGTGCGGACCAAATGATTGAAATTATCGAAGAGAGGAAACAGCATGTTTTTGATGCAGTAGATGAACATGCGCAAAAATCACTGGAATCTCTCTTACAGAAAAAAGACGAAGTAGAAAACCAACTAGGAATAATTGATTCAGCCATTGCACGAACTGAAGCTCTGTTGAAACAAAGTTTCAGTACAGATGTCCTTGGTTTCAATGAAACATTTGATACAATCCTACAGGACTGGGCACCCAAAGAAATCGTGCCTCGACTGAATGTATCAAGATTCCTCGGTTTAGTTTTAATAAACCTGAAAAACTGATTAACGTTTTGAACAGTGAAGGTATAGGTAATGTAAAAACTGTTGTTAGCACAACTAAAGCGCAACAATCACGAACTAAAGGTAAGGAAAGTAATAAAGTAATTGCTGGGAATAATTTAGCAAATGATTGTGACAGTCCTTTCGAGGTTAAGTTACAAACCAGGCGCTTCAGACCTGTACTATCGTTTGGACAAAAAGGCAAGTCTGTTGGAATGCTTAACCGGCCGTGGGGGGTGGCAGTGAATGATAGTGATGAAATTGCCGTGACTGACTGCTTTAACCACCGTATTTCTGTATTTAGAAGTAACGGTACCCACTTAAGATCGTTTGGCAAGAAAGGTAAGAGCAATGGTGAGTTCCAATACCCCACAGGAATCGCTTTTGATAGTCTTGGCAATAATGTTGTTGCAGAAAATAGTAACCATCGGGTGCAAGTCCTTGCTAGGAATGGTAACTTTCTTAGAAAATTTGGGGAACGAGGAAATCTTGATCATCAACTTAATTATCCTCAAGGTTTATCAGTAAACGGCAATGGTGATATTATTGTTGCTAATAGTGTGAACCAACTAATCAAAATATTTTCATCTAATGAGCATTATTTAGGCAAATTTGGAGGGGTAGGTTCTTTGATCAATCCCAATCACTGTATCCAACACGGTCAATATTTTATAGTCCCAGATTATGGTGATCATTCCATCAAAATGTTTGATCTTGGAGGAAAGCTAATTTCAAAATTTGGAAGGGAGGGAAGCAAAGATGGAGAGTTCAATGGGGCCCATTACTTGTCAATTAACAAAGAAGGATTCCTTGCTGTTTGTGATACATTCAATCACAGAATTCAGGTATTTGAACTGAGTAGAAAGTTTGTTACAAAGTTTGGACGTGAAGGTAGCGAGAGGGGAGAGTTTAAGCATCCAAATTCTACAGCAAATCTTAGTGATGGAAAGATAGTTGTGTGTGATAAAGAAAACAACCGCATCCAGGTATTTGACTTGATACAGTCAACGCCCTTGTAAGCAACCACCCTGGGTGCACGACAAAGTGGGGTCGCTTACGTGACGTGGGTTTTCACGGGGAAAATCAAGAAAATAAGCTCAAACTGAACTGATTATCGTAATTACATGAAGTTATTATATTACTAGCGAAAACTAGTCAAATAGACAACTGACAATAAAGATTCACATCGAATAACCCATGGAACTGTTGAAAAACATTTTGCATCAATGTAACAATCCCCCTTTTTACCCACAGAAAACAAAAGAACATATGGAATTTCTGGCCTATAAAGTGGTCGCGGTAGCTTAAGAAATTTAAGTAGTGGTCGCTTACGAGAGTCTTTGAAACAGTGTTTGACTGAAAACAAAATGGTTATTTACATACAAAGTGGTCGCTTATGATCATGGGAAGTGGTCGATATAAGAGAGTTGACTGTATGGCATGCTCTAATTTTCAGTAGAAACAACTTACAAGTGTTTCACGTGTTTGAAAAAAATGTTGATGACCTCAGGGTCGTTTAGTTCCTTGATGTTTCCTGTATAGTATGTTGCATCCTTCGTAGTTTCTGTGTTTCGTAATATGTGACCTTTTTCGTAACTTTTAACTACCTAACTCAGCTCAGTAATAAATATTATAGTCAAGTGTTCAAATGATGAATATATTTTAGACAACGTTTTCCATTTTTGCACCAGTCAACTTTTTCGAAAGCAAAACTAGACTAGTTCATTTTTTTTGTACCAAATTGCTTACAGTCCACGTTTAAGGATGTTTACTTAAAGTTGTTTGTTGGTTCCCAGTAGACATTATATTTCTCAGCAAAACTGTTCTTCCAAGTCCGTTATTTGTTTATCTATGTAAACGAAATGTTATTTTCTGCACTTGTTTGTATCATTTTTGCCAATATATACAACAACAGACTGTAAGCAGTAGGTTTATTTTCTTCACAGATCTGTAGGGCACTAGCTTCGAGCAGCAAGTCGATCGCTAGACGAGAGAAGCGAGGGCGCCAGTCGTCTTGGATGACGCCCTCGCTTTGCAAGTCACGCGCCTTCGCCGCTCGACACTCGCGTATTAATGTGTCACTTTCCAAGCTTTGAACCAAAGTAAAGACTTTTTACCGTTTAGTCTGTAACAAAGATTGTTTTAGAGTATGCAGGAGTTAATATGCTAATAATATTATAAGGGCTAAGTCTTTTGATTTTTCATTAGAGCGGTTTTCACTTGACTGTCGAAAGTAATTGAGGAATTGGTTTGGGTTTGGTTTTACTACGCCCTTTGGTTGGCTAGTGTATTTACTTTGGTTTTGAAATTGGTTTTACGACAGTCAAGTGAAAACCGCTCTATCATTAAGTGCAATGGCCATTATGCTTCGGTAATACATATGATACTGTTATGATTATTAACTTAAATTTATAATAAACTTCAATTTAGACTAAAGAAATTCTTTGGTTTTTCTGCCTGGGAAGGTGAGTGGCATGGCCTGCAAGATAGTTACTCAGGGGGGCAAGGGTGACGTAGTGTTGAGAGCACCTGCCTCCCACCAATGTGGCAGGGGCGCAAATTACCGCGTCGACGCCATATGGGGGTTGGTTTGTTGGTCCTTTCCTTTGTTCTGAGAAGTTTTTCTCCGGGTACTCCGGCATTCCCCTCTCCTTAGAAACCTACACTTCCAAATTCCAAATAGGCATGGCACGCATGGACGCGTTCAAACGGTTTTTTAAAGAACTTCTTATGGAGAGTTTTGCACGACCGGCACTGAGACCGAAGCGAAGTTCGGCGCGAGAACTTAACCCGACAACAGAATGCTCGCAGGCTTTAAGGGGTGTTGTTGTTTGATACCTGCTGCTAGGCCACTTACCATCGCAGTCGTTTTTGTCTTGTCACACAACGCTCCTTCCCAAGAGGCGCGTTGGATTATCCGAGAAAAACTAGCACAACTGTAGCTAGACTGTTCATAGTACCCTATTTTTCCACAAGACTGTCAGGATCGAAGACTTACACGCGGCCATCTTTGATGAGTGGCAAATCTACCTAAGGGGCGCGGGACAGTTTGGGAGGAAGCTGGAGCCCAAAAGTACTTCATAAGCCCATACTTATGAACTCCTGGAGGAAGCTATTTTTCTCGCCTCCCTCACCCCACCACCATAATCCCGATGCCCCCCCCCCCCCCCCCCCCACACAAAAAAAACCGGCCCCCCCCACCCCACCAACCCCCGACCCCCAAAAAATCGGGGAAAAAAAAGGGGGGAGAGGGGGCACAAAAAAAAGGGAGAATTGTGTGGGGGCGAGCGTGGGGGAAGGGGGTGAACGAAGGGAGGGGAAGAGAGCGAAA